TAACATATATAATTAGACGCTTTTTCTTATAGAGGATCACCGAAGCTAAGCAACGTGTCAGGCTACATATATATATATATATATATATATATATATATATATATATGGTGACGAGTTTTTACTGGATTACATCATTTCACGATCAGAGATTTTTGCGCTTTTTCGTTCTCCACTAAAATGTACGATCTGCCATGTTATTTTCCATGAAGTATGTGCAGTTATGTGGAAAACGTGAAATAACAACGATGTAACTCGAAACATATATGTACGCATGGCTACGACATGGCTCACTTATGATTTTAGTTATTTTCATGTTCTTCCATGCTCTGAGTAGTTACATAGTCAAGCTAGATTTAAGACAAGCACAGTTTAATAACTATGGTATTAACTGCTTTATTTTAGACTAACAAGCGTCTACTTCAGTTTTCAGAAGATTTTTGCGAGGTAAACTTTTGATAGAATGTAAGTTTTACTTCATCTCGTGGATACTAAACGTACTGTGGGATGAATTAGATAATATTGACAGACGTAAATTTTGAAATTTTTGGGGTGGCATAAGCGTTCATTGTCAATTCGTTGCCAGGGCATTGTCAGATGCTTGGGGCATATGACAGGTGAAAGTTCTGTTTTAAGGGTCCCTAAGTTAGTTTGTGGAACTGTGGAAGCCTAATTTGCTTTAGGCCTTTTTAGACACCAATCCGTCAATTGAAAGGCAACTTGTTAACTTGTGCACTTACATTTGGTCGGCCTACTTAACTATCAATACATTGCCTATTGCTGGCAAAATGATCTGTTTTCCGTGTATAGAATAGGGTCCATCACATCGAATATCTTTAGGCCCGTTGTGAGTGGGAGATGATTAATACTGATTTACCACCTCAGTCAAACTTCATATATACGGACACTGTAAAATGAAAAGAAATCGTTTTCGTGCTCCGTAGTTGCTTATTCTTGACAATTACATATTTAAGGAACGTGCTATTATACCGATTCATATATTACGCAAGCGGACAAATTGACTCGATAAGTCAGCCGCTATCCCTGCTGTTTGCTGTTATTCGGAATAGGCCATTGAAGAAGTCAATATTATTGTGGTATAGTGCTCATTTTGATTTTGGCCATGGCGGTTATGTTATTATATTCATGGATATTTCGAAGACTATCGTGCCAAAGCCTCGACGGCGTTTGCATTGCGTGTTTATTTCATCTCTGGCTATCAAGCGATTCCTGAATGTTCGAGAGCCGATCTCAAACTTCAACTATGTTGCCTTTGGTTCAAATTTCGCATCGTTCTGCAGTGGTATTTCGCGAAATGCGCGCTAAGATTTACAGAAAGGTTCCGAAAGAAGTTTTCAGAAAGATTTACAGAAAAAGGTCTCTACCGATATACCACTATGATGCTGAACTGCGTACGAGGCCTTCACGCGCCTGAGTCCAAATATGTCGCTTTCGTCTTCGTTTGCCGGTAAGGAAGCGTTGCCTACTTGAACAGTATTCTCGATTCGATCAAATGTCAATTTATGAAGTACTTCACCGTAGCAGTACTGCCTGAATTAGAAGTAAGTACCTAATATAAAAAATGCTTACGTGTAGCTTTTAAAAATCATTATGCGGAGAATTAAGTCTATCCTGAGCCATTATCGAAACGGCATTACGGTGGCCGTTTGGTGTAGCTCATGTAACGATATATATATAACTATTCTGTTACCTTTTAGCATTGTTTAACATCGTTTACCTACTGAAATCAGGACAACGCTCCTCTACCAACCATGACATCGATTGTGAAATTAAAGGACTGCTTGATAATGTTAGAGTCAGGAAGCAAGCACTTAACCTGACCGACAAAGACCAGGCCCAGTCAAATTCTTCACATTATTTTATTGTGTACCCTTTGTTACCGGCTAGATTTATCAGCTTGAAACTTACACAGCTTCCCCGAGCGTGAACTCTGCCATTTGAAAGTGTGTCAGTCAGCTGTGAGCAGAGAAATTGTATTTCTTTCTTCGTCAGTTTTTGTTGGACTTTATTGAAACCAAGTAGAATCCATACTTTGTTGTGTGCGTAACACTGCACTAACGTCGGCACGATAGGAGACTATTCGGTGCTGAAGGTATGTTGTACATCCCTTACTCTGTATATTGTTACCATATTTCTATTTATTCTATCGTACTTGTATTCAATTTTGTTTGAATGTCTTCTATCATATTACCATTACCAGACCGGTCAGGTTTTGGTTGTTAGTGTTTTTTGCGTTGTATGGACACCGTATTGTCTCAATGTCTGTTTGCCCGCCTGAGTGACGTGTACACGGTCCGCCCGCCATTGACCCTTAACTCTACCTCGAACTGGTGCCGTTTACCGTGAGTCTTTAGGGTGTCCGGCGCCCTAGGCATCTTATTAGGGGGCAAGCAAGAAACGGGATGGCAAAATACTCTAGCTACTCGTTCCGCCCATCATAGTAAGATCACACAGTAGCAATTTCATCAGTTATCCAGTTGGTCCACCGATCTACGTCTGGTTGCAAGTCTGCACTGAACACAGATCAGTGGCGGTTCCATAGAACGAGCCATGTTAACGCACGTCGCTGTTCGCAACCAGGGTATCAGACTGAGGCCGATGGCTCCCCTAAGAGATCGATGGCTCCTCCGTTGCGGAGATGAATAACGGAAACAACGGTCTACTATTTTAATGCGAGTCTACTCTCCGCAGGGGTTCTGTGCGACGTGAGGAGGCGGATAAGTCGCAGTTGTTTCGTCAACAGAATCGTGAAAGGTTAATGATTAAGTCAGTCAGAACGTAAAATAGAGGTATGTACAATCGTTGAGTAATGAATTTCTGGGTGGTTTCGGAGGAGTAATGACAAAGAAGGCTGATGGTGTTCAATGCCTGAATGTTTAACGGACCCTACCAGCCACGTGGTGTCGAGAGGTTTGATGCGCTAAAACACAGACAGGCAGGTAGAGCGTATTTAACGATTTCGTCGTTCGTCTGGCCAATTCTCCACTGATAATTAACGCAAGTCGAATAAGAGACTACGAGCTGGTTCACAGTTCAATCTGGAAGCACAGCAAGACCTACATTTTAGGTCAGTTTTAATTTTTCAGACGACCCAAAAGAATACGCTTACGTATGGAGCCTGTACTCAACACGTTTAAATTTAACCGCCTCTGTTATGTGCGGTCGCATTTATTCATACATCAGTTATCTCAAAAACAGTTTGAATGTTTATACTTTCCTAATTTCATTAACATACGATTCATATTTAAATTGCAGAAGAATTTACATAAAAATTATGATTTTTCTTTTTAGTCAAATACGTGAAGTTGCGGTCGATGCACAGCGGGTTGCTGATTCACAACACCAACAAACATTTGGCTTCGGCGAAGCTTCTCTTGATTCCGGCCTTTACATCTTCCACCATCCGAGACTTCGACTTTATTTTTAATGTACCCTTACAAGAAGGAATCGATTGACGTCGAGTCGGAAAAACGGCCAGGCTATTTCATGGGATTCCTCGACTCAAACAATTTGTTTGGAAGATTCTCACCAAAATCATCTCTTACGTCACGATGATAGTGGCCAGGTGCTTTGTTCTGTCGGAAATAAAAGTTGCAATCTTCATCTAGGTCCTTCCGAACGTACGGTAAAATAGTTTCTTGCTGTTAATTAAAGCCATTAGCACGAGTCGTTGTTTTCAATTAGTCCTCTGCTTGAAATGCCGCGCCACAATATAGGTCCCGGCGAGCTTACATGGTCTTTCTGCGCGATAATGTTGATTATTGTGCCCTTGTATTTGACTATAGCTTCATTGCTCCAAATAATTTGTCCCTAAACGTGCGTAATTGACATTTAGAAAATCGTTTTCTTTCATGCCGGTTATTTTCACTGATAGCATTTTAGCTTTTCTATTGAGAACGTCGTAAGATGCGGTAGGCTTATGATTTGGTCGTGGATTTTTGGGACGTTTCGCCATAGCTTTCGAACAGTTTTTTTTTTTGGCTGGCGAAATTCTGTGATGTTCGTGCTTGTCTGGAGCTCTGACTATGAACATTGTCAGTAGTTCCATTAATCCGATCCATTGTAAACCGCGTAGGTAATCTACCTGAAACAACCAACATAACTTGTGCAGTATTTCTGATACAGTTTTATACTTCTAACAGTATCGCAAAATAAATGTTTAATCGATCTTTATTTATTCGCCTACTTATGTAGTAGTCAACTACTTTCGAGATCACAATGAATATGTAGACCCATTAAAATATCTTGCGTCATGTGGATTATATAAGTTTAGTTAAGCTAATTTAGGAGATTTATCAGATACCCTGAAGATAGTATTAGAAGTCAACGAGTGGCATGATGATCTCTGTCACGACTTCCCACGCATCTGAAGCGTTTACTTATATTGTAAGGCTCTTAGTAACCCGGTCCCCTGCAGAATCTGCGGTGGAGTCCATGCACGGCGCATCGGGTGGCGAAATATCTGTTTAGCCTGTTTATACATTTCCGCTCGCAGTTTTACATTGCAGCCAAGGAATGACAAATTTCCATTGATCTCCGCGAACTTTCGGTTTCTAAGGCTGGCCCTAAAAGGTACCGTTGCTGGGAGCCCAGGCTGGGCGACAGCGCAGGTTTTCAGACAGCGTTGGCGAGTCTGCTAGGAAATACGCGAGGCGTCTTCCGATCGTTCCGTGTAGCCCAGTACACTTTAAGGAGGAGACTTTAATGTGACCTAATTGTTCGTGATTGTCTTTTGCAAAAGCAATCGTCTTTGTTTAAAAGTTAATCCTGAGTAATTATTATTTCCAATTTATTATATCATAGAGAAAATGAACTGTGAAAGTTATGGCCCGTTAGATAGTGTATGCATTCTTGGGCCGCTGTATAGGCAATAAGGATGGCACAATGTAAGCCCAAAGAATGAGTGCGACCACTGTAATACTGTAAGCTACCGTAAACTCTTTACGCTATGATTTTATTTCTGATGTTTGCTACTGTTTCAGATCAACTGCAAGTTGTCCACAAGCAAGTTAAAGGAGTTATTTCAATTAGTGGACACGAAAGCACTTGGAGAGATTGGATATGACGGCTTCGTCCATTTCTACCACAGCCTCATGAATTCTGATCGACTGCTTCCAGAAACACTTAAGTAAGTAACGCTTCATTTAATAGGCCACCCACGTCCATCCGTCTACACCGTTCGAACGATTGATCTCGCACTTTCATTGAATTTCCTAATCATAGCCTTCCATTAAGGCCGCCTCATATAGAAGATATTATCTGTGAGTTTGTTGCTGTGTTGTTGAGTAATGCAAGTGAAGGAGACTGAGGGTTTCTTCAGTTTGTCCTTCAAATTATGTTTAACCTCATATGGATGGTTCTAAGTTACAAAACTGCTTTTCGGCCCCTGAAAGTAAAAAATTATAAAATAGGACGACTTCTTGAAAAGTTCAAATATGATTCTGAAAAGGTGGTTTGGTAATTCCTGGCGTGGAATTCTAATGATATCGGCAAACATACTCGCAGATCTGCAAAGTATCGGGGAGTTAGCTTCACAAAACTGGTTAAGAGGTTACCCTCTCACATAGTAAACAACGGCTTGTGGATATTGTTGCCTAAATGGCCAGGTACGTAATGATCGAGGATGATAGTATACAAAAAACACACATATCTTTAATAACAGATTAGCGAAGAAAAAGAACTACATAAGTCACACGTCGGTAAAAATTTTTTTCAAGAATGATGTCCCATAAATGAGATGAAACACACCTAGTCTCTATTGGACGAGGCATTAGATGACCAAAATCACTTATCTTGATGGAGTTTTTGGAAATTGTTCCTTTGCAAGAAGCTCGTCATGCGAATTTCACCACTATGCTAAATAGAAACAGACAATAAGTTGGGCTAGTCCAGACGTAACTATTTTCTTTTCAACAAATGGAAACCAAGATCACACGCTATAATCACACTAACCTGTATAACATTATAGAAAAAGCGAAACCCAAAGTCGATGGTATACTCATCAACTTGATAAACGACCATTTCAGTCTAATATGAATAATATTTCATTCTCATTTATGTTTTAAGTATTATGGAATTTTACCTTGAGTTTAATGAGACCGTAATATATGACTGGCACTAAATGCGCTTACGCAGCCATATCTAAATAGTCCAGTTTTGTACTAACAATTACATAGACTTTAATCGATGTTGTTCTGGCTTCGAAGCTTTCGCTTTTTTTCTGATGTTTTTCGTTTCCGCCATGATGCGAGTTCTCCTCTCTGTCGAATAACCTCGTTTGTCTTCGGTCTTATAATAAGGTTACTACCTCTTGTAGCTCCCTTTATAAAAGCTCAATCCGTTTTTGACCTCTACAACATCAATCGAACACATCTATATAAAGCCTTCCAATACCCAACGGCATGCACTGCGATACAGTGGACTATCGAAGATCGCCTTTTATTTTAAAGGTCCCTCGTGTCCTACCGCGTAGCGTCGCGACCACCTTCAGAAGTCCATAAGGTGCTATTAAGGGATTTTCTTGTCCTTCCACAACTTTCACGGCCTGGTCGTATTCTAGTTTTGTTTTGTAGCTTCTCGTTATCTTTCTTTCAGAAACATTACAGTAAACGCAGGGATTTTTCAACAAAGTAGTTTTATGCACATGGAGCGTATTTGGCAGAACTTGTACCAGAAGTGCATTGCTAACTATGATCGCACCCTGTTCGACTAATCAGAAAAAAGATTTTTTTCAACGCCTAAGAGCAATGTTAGCGCAGTCGGCGACCTCCTTATATCTATATAATGAGTAAATGTTTCGACTTTAACGCCCGGGACTGCCGTCAAGCAAGGCCGTGTTTGTTCGCCCTAACACAAAAAGAACTGTGCCTACGCCCCGTTTTGGATCCGGAGCACAAAGTTTTCTTTTGCTTTTCTTTCTAAGTTGTTAAGGAATCTATAGCGGACAAATCAATGCCGTTTATTACCAGAATGATTTTCGATGTATATATGGTTTCCCTTAATAGAACAAATATACAAACATCTAACTTCGTACCGCCATTGCCACTTGCATGACGCAATTTGGCAGCAAACATTGAAGAAAAGCGTTTTTATATCGCATAAGCGACCCGTACTCGTTTCGCACGTACAGAAAAATAGTATTCTTAGCAATAATTTTTGCGTAAATCTCTTATTGAAGTTTAAGAAAAGGCCGCTCTTGCTCTCTGGATCTTCACCCATAAGATTGACTAGCTAGTTCTACGCTTGTTTTAAAACTATCTTTTATTTTTTTTGTTTCCTCTTTTACAGGAGCTGCGTCAACGACGACAACAAAATCGTGACGGTTCGATCGTTCTGCAACTTCTTGTTGACGGTTCAAAAGGAACCCATTGATGATAATCTCATCTCTGCGCGAATGCGTAACTTTCTTCAGGACGCTAGACGGGAGACCCAGGAACCGTACTTTACACAGCAGGAGTTTGTTGACTCTCTATTCTCGAAGGAAAATCAAATTCTTGATGTTACCAAATGCGAACTCAACCAAGACATGTCCAAGCCACTTACCCATTATTGGATCTCATCTAGTCACAATACGTACGTTACATCATTGTTCTTCGTTAACTTTTGCTAGCATAAACGACGACAAGTGTAATATCACTGAATGGTCGACTTTAACGCGTATTCGATCCGCATACAATGCACGGTACCTGGATCAGTATATAAACGTTAATTTTTTTTTTTGCACTCGAGAAGAACTTGTATATTTTTAAGTCTGAGATCATGCAGTTAGGTGAGTTTAACAGGTGTGTTACAGTTAACTAGTGAAAATCTGAAAATTCGAATAATTTTAGTGTATGAGCCTTATAATCGACCTACAGTAGCAGAGATAGCTTGCCGCATAAAATCAGTAAAAGATTTACTACCGGAAACACTGGGAGCCACTAACTAAAGAAATCATAAGAGGAAATTTTGAACGAGTTGTCGAAGGCTACAAAAGTGAATGCTGAAGAGTTAAGAGCTGCGGAACAGTTCGGAGACAGGTTTTATCGACAACATTAATGATATATACAACGTATATACATTCGCTCTGTATTTAGAACTTTTCATTGATACGCGCTGTAGCAGTTGGCCGCGTTATCCGCTATGTGTCCCAACATATAGACCGTTCATGCTTTGGCCTAATCCTTTCAAAGACCCTAACCTTCAGGCATGCAATGACACCAGCTTAAAATCTGACCAAAGTCTGCTATAGCGACGTTGTTCGATCACTCACAGGATCCTCGTACCATCTTTGGAACACTGCGAAGTCTGTTCTGTTTGTTCAATCGAATCCCTTCCCTACCCTAAGGGTTCTTTTGAATAGGGGAGTGCAGACGTTCAACTAAGCGTGTTTGGCCCTGTCGGCGCTGAATTTCGGTAATTTTTAGGCTAAGCCACTTTGTTTCCGACCTGAGGATATACGCCGAGGTCGATGTGAGAGTGCGTCAGTACCCGCTGTGCAATATTTTGAATGCCTGCATATTCACCTATCTTCCCGGAATAGCACAGCAGGATTGCGGTTTCAGCTAAGGCTTGCGCAGTCCCCAATGGCGCGATGTTCCCTTGGCTCGACACAGGAGCTTGTTTACGAGTACATACCTAGAAACACCTGGCCCTGTGTCTAAATCTTGCTTAGATGAGGAACAGCGACTCAATGCGCTCTAACAAGTGTCTATTCCGTATAAGCGCATAGGTTTTCATCACCTCTTCAGATGCGCGCATAATATTCTGACGCGTGAGGTGGTCTTTTTCGTGGAAAGTGCTCGAATAGATTTGTTTCGAGCTGTCCCCCCGTTTCGGTGTTACCCAAAGTGGATTCGAACCCATATTAGGATGGACCCGGCAGAAATTATTGAACCAACGCCAACGCGAGCCCCCCTTCTCTGTCGAACGCCCCGCCACGTCGACTACCTTGTCCGTGCCCCCATTACATAGTCTCCTCGTAACGACGAAAATATTTTGTCCGTGATATATTTATCGGTACGCGCCATAGCAGCACATACATTTTGCTTCAGTCATAATTGCTTATAATCAGTGTTTAAGCTGGGTATGCCCTAGAGCGAAGAATAGAAAAGGTCATAAAACTGTTGTTGATTTATACATTATGACTTTCTACGCACGATATGATGCAGTATGCCTCAGGTACGATACAACGTCATGCGCTGCAGTGCCATCGCCGGGCAGCTTTTCCGATCGGGCACACCAATCTGGGAACGCTAAATTTTCAGTTCATACATTCATATATTCTAAACATAAATAATAATAATAATAATTTAATACTAATTAATAATAAAAATACATAAAACTCTCAGGAGTAATGGTTGTGTTCAAGTCTAATAATATTTGTTGGAAGTGTTGAAAGAGGTAACACTAAATATCAAGTTAATTCAAAAATACGTTTTGCCTCGGTAATAAATAAAGGCACAGTCTTACTTTCGTGCGGTACTTACTTTCGATGTAGTAGTATTCAACCAACAGGTTAGAAAATAATTTTGTGAATCTACTACAAAAAAGTTTGCAGCAGTAGGTCATCTGTACGTTTTTCCTGTTTCGAGTCGAAAGGTCTTTCGGTATTTGAAGGATCGAGCAACACATCTTTCAGTCGAGCGTAACTTTACAAAGTTACGCTGTGATACACGCACAGAGTAAGCTTGGCTGAAGAATCACCGTAATATACAGCATAGATATTACGCCATGCTTAGATTAAGATTACGTCGAATTTAACGGCATGCGATCTCGACCTACTTTGAAACTACTTTTTATTGAAAATATCGTGCATAATATGTGCAGGCACATCTCATAAACTTGCACATAGTTTTGACACCCGTAGTTCACCTAGAAGCTGGGACCCGCAATAACATATAAATAATTCTAAATAAATCCGCCCATTGTGCGGTTTGTGTTGTGTGTACCAAAATAGACATACGAAACCTCTGCGCGGTGACGTAAGCCTGGACGTAGCCCAGGCCGTCCAGAATCCATGACGAGGTTTCGTCGTTAGGGATTGTAATAACGGGTAGGTTGTTACACGTTGAGTGTATATCGGCATATACAGGTCATGTATCCGATACATTAGCCGTGCGGGAGCACTGCAGATGCGTCCACATTACTCTAGAGCTAAAGTCAATTAGCGACTAATAGTATTCTCGTCATTGGAGAACATATGATACTTGGGCATTAGAGACCCCTTGAATAGATAGCATTCTGGCTAGTTTCTGTAAATTTGCAAGTATTTTTGTTTGATCCTGAGTCAATTAAACTATCTACCAAAGGTACCAGAGAAGTGAGTGGAAGAAGCCTTCGTCTGAACTAAACATGCACATATAAACGATTCCCTCCGCCAAGGCCGATTACATGTTAGGCCTACCTGTACATAACTACTGAACTTTTCTTTAAATAATTGGCCGTCGACACCAAGCGGCATAACGCTGTTGCGGATGACGACCCTTTGCAGGGCGGAGTCAAAGTAACGGGACTTGTACTGTCATCATCGACATGTGAAAGGAAGAAACAAGCGCTGTTATATCCCCAAATCCTCTATCATTATCAATCACTGACCACGTTAACCCTTCGCTGTTAACGGTGCCGCCTTTGTTGCCGTCTTTTATTTGCGATTCCATTGTTTGCTGTTATCTGCTTCTCAGTCGCTCTTCGGTAGGACATAGATGCAATAAAGGACCGTCCCTTACCGGCTGCCAATGTTGCAGGAACGCAGCAACACTAGAAAGGTTCTCCTCATTTTATTCTCCCTTTCTACAAACGATGTGAGAGGTTTTCGTACTCGTATGTACTTACGTATGTATTTTGATCGCTCAAATACTCACATAGGTTCGGTTTTGTGGTTCGATAGTCATTGGGCAAGCGAAATAGATTTTACCCATGGCTATGTCATCCACTGCTCTTGTGAAACGTAGTGCGGGAAAGGTTGAAAGACTTGTTAAGATGCCATTGTTTTAAATGACAACAATCTCGGACTGAAGCATTCGCTTTTACATGTTCGTAAAGGTTAAATATACGTAGCCACTGTCAAATGTGGTTGGGATAGAACGCATGTCATGTTTCGGGCCTAGCGCGGAATTATTTAAACTGGCTTTCTACAACTATTAGTTAGATAGGGATTATGAGGTAGGTTAATAGAAGCGACCTTATTTAAAGCCAGCAAAAAGATCGCGGTGGATAAAGAAAGGGGCCTTGTTTAGCATCCGAAGAGCTCCATAATCTTAAACCGAAAGCTTGATCTCCCAAAAACTCAAAAGTGTTCAAAAGTCAAATTTGAGCACTAGTTATCATTTTGTCAAAATCTCAATCGTTCATAGGTCCACCTTGATGGAATCGTTCTGCACTTACCTGTACTCTATGAAAAAGATACCTGAACATAGCTTTTTTAATCGATACTCCAAATAAACACACACCTCTAAACAAGATGATTTCACGAGTGAAATACTAAATTATTGGGAGAGAATTTTTTTCCGTGTTTTCAATTATAAAATCGATGGCACACGATTTCATATTTTTTAATTACTACCAGACGCAATTTTATTCGTTTGGAATACAATTAGGAGGCTAAGACTATGGTTTGCGCCCGAAATTGACGCAAACATCTGCGCGACGTCCACTGTATATTGTTTTTGTCGTCTGGGCTTGACACATCAATACGATGTGGTAATCAAACGACAAGTTGACGGCTGCGAAACCTCCACATGAGTGTCGGGAAGGAGCCCCATAGGGTGAACCAGGCCTGGCGTGAAGCTTACCGTCTTCAATTTCCGGCTGCCTGCATTACAAGAGGACGTAGCTCACGTATAGTGCGATGGCCCGGAATGGGTATTCAACTGTTAGGCTTAGGTGGAGCCTTCTGTTGTGTGCATGGATGCGAAAAAAAAAGTTACCTATAGCGTCATCTGAAGGAACATTCGCTGATCACATATTCTACCAATTACTGAACGCTTTTGCGTTCAGCTTCATTAGGGAAAATGAAAAAGATTCTCGAAAAAATCCAGCTTTTTTTTTCTCTGCAGTGAAGCTATATCTATTTCCAGCTTTAAGGACGATGAACGTTTACACATTCGCACTGAATGGCCAAGTGCCGATATTCGCAGTTGATATACACTGTGTGTGCAACTTACTTTTTGATTAAATATATACCTTATGAAATTCTATCGGCTTGGATAAGTTGTGTTCTTTGTCATTGCATATATTACTTGGCGAATTCAGCCACCGTGTAGACGGGGTTAGTTTAAGTACAGCAGACGTAATCGCAAACAAAAAGCTAGAAAAAATTGATTATCTTATGTGCTTTATAAGAAATTCTCTATTCTACTTATGCAGATGTTGTTTCGGTTAGTGAAGCATTGAGTGGGGGGCAATGTTTAAGGATTATTTTGTCTACGGGTGGATTTATGCGGCCTTGATGCTTAGCGATTGTTCGACGCATTACTGTTGTGAGGGGCGATGTATTCGAAAAACGACAGAAATCGGATCGGTAAACTTTCCGATCCACAACTTTTGTTCCAAAGAAAGTTCATTTTCCGAACACGTGTGCCCATACGCGGTAAATTGTTAACGAAGTCCAACTCAACAAGAATCTTATTTGTCTGGTACGTAGCACTTTTACACAGTTTTATAACCTGTGCTTTGAGTTACATGTAAAAATAATAACTGAAATAAAATTATGGTAGAAGTAATATTATTACAAATTTATGTTTATATATTTATCTGTATTCCTAATCTTCTGATCGTTGAATTAAAAAGGTCTTGTAATATTTTCTATTTAACAGATTCTAATATATTGAAACGTGGTGATAGCAGAGTAATGCCGATACGTATTATCCTAACACTTGTTCAAACACCAAGCACCGGGACGAAATACGTATTTGTTCAATGACATCCCGGTTGGAGGCTACAAAAAAACATCAGACAAAAAATTAAGTTCCGACTTGAAAAATTTCCGTGTATCACATTGTTAGGGGCTACCATGCATTACCTTGCTTGTTGACTTTTTGGGTCCAAATTTTGACCTCTGAATCAATCAGAGGTGAGCTTGAGCATGTTTTAATGTAATTGAATTAAAGGCATTTATGAGCGTATCAATTGCTAGTCGGCCACTTATTTGTATTAAATGTTTTTTGTTGTTACCTACCAGGTTATATACGTAATAAGGTTATAGGTAAAAGATATAGGCATCTATACAAATACGTCTACACATGTGGAAAGTGTATTTTCAAGCTATTGGCTGATAGTCATATCTGGTTACTCAAACGTCGCGTTTAGACGCTTGTAACTTCTCGTTAGAGCCATGCTTTAAACACTGAACCGGTCGTGTGTATTAAAAAAAAAAACAAACTTATCATACTGCTTTTTTCGACTCACTCAGATGACTTTCTTTGACAGGTACTTAACTGGCGATCAAGTGAAGAGTGAGTCGTCTTGTGAAGCGTACGTAAGGTGTCTTCGTATGGGCTGTCGGTGTATTGAGTTAGACTGCTGGGATGGGCCCGATGGAATGCCCCACATTTATCACGGCCACACGTTAACCACGAAGATCCGGTATGCCATACGAGCTACATAGCTTTAACAAACATATATATATGATACATTGCAAGCTCTAAAAAGCTTTTGAAAATTCCGGGACTCCTCAACGGATTAGCTAGCTATTCGCCAACAACAGTTAATATAGTCAAAATTATTGCCTTTGTTTCTATTTGAAACTGCATTCGCATTACACGAAACAGTTGACTGCCATTATACAAAGATAGATGTATAAACATACCATTTCTTAGGATTTAAATTCAGGACATGCCCTTGAATCTAGTAGGCGCGGAGTTTAGGAAGCCATTATCGCAGGGATTAAACCTAAGCATCTACCAGTATTTGTTGATGTTCGATATGGAAGAAAATGTACACCGTTACTTTGCTCAGATCCAGAGACGTATGTACTACTAAAAATCCATGTTGCATTCTAAAGCTGGACAGATTTGATTACAGGATTCTTCACCGCAACGAAAAGTGATTAATTTCGATTTTTTACGTCTTAAATCGCATTCTTCTAATTGAACAAACGCAGTTAAAACGTTCTTCATTATGAAAGCATACTGTGAGTACGATTACTTTTATGCTCTGTCTCTAATGAGTTAAGACTACGACAGAATTCTGACGTGTTGACAAATGTCCTATGAAGGGCATTTGATACATAACATTTCTCCTTGAAAGACTCAAATCCCATCTTCACGTTTTCTTAAATTAACTTTCCACGCATACATTTGGCCAAGACAGAAAAGGCGGACACCATCAAGAGACAGACAGTTGTAAATGGAACACCAAGCCGGATTGTGTCATTCCATCGGCCGAGGTTGACAAGGGTCTAACTAACCCAGGGCAAATAAAACAAAATTATAACACGCGAACGGAGAAAACCGACCGGCATTTTTTCACGTCTGCAACAGTGAAGTGTTTGTCAGCCGTCAGGGATGGACAATTGCGAGCTACTTCGCTTGGCATTGGGATGTGGATTGGGTTGGAATCGGATAACGCTGGTGGCCGTTACAGTCTTCCTCCCACATAGGTTCCGAGTCACTCGCGAACACTATGATACTACCGTGAAGAGCCGCTAAGCTAGGGTATCCTTTGCATAGCGATGACTTCTTTCTTCCTTGCTGAAAGATCCACCGCTATCACTAGCTCAGCACAGCGCAGGTCCTTCGCTTTCTCTAACCCTCAAACTCTATTTGGCCTGGCCTAGGCTCGTTTGGCCTTGCAGGGCCGGGCCGACCAGCCATCGTCGACGGTGCTTTTTCCGTCATCATTTAACAATGTCACCATGTGTCTAAGAGGAATGTTCCGCTCCGACGGAGCTGCCTAATCAGCCACTAACGGACTGTCGTCGTAGAAAGTTTTTTCCGGCGTAACACAAAACGCAGGCCATATCCCTTCGTAATGGTGAGCGCGGACAAGCAGCGCTCGTTGCAGCTGGAATAACCACAGTTTTGTTCAGGTGTTCTTCCGATATACATCTTTGTTCTGCCAGTCGCCCGATCAACCTGTTACGGCCATTACGGTCACCGTAGTTGTTATGCCCCTGTATTCCCTATATTTCGTTAGTGACGTGTGTAGCTCAACGGCAACATAAGATATGGCGTCTTTCGACTGTCCGTCAAATGATGCCTGCTTAGGTTAAAGTAGACGGGCGGGTCGTTGTCAGGGTCCTTAGTTTACTGGGTGATCTCTCTTTTCCCGCTTAACTATACTTAGTCCCTTCGTCTGTCAGAGTCTCCAAGGGTAGCAGGCCAAGCGACTGACCAGTGCGGGCCCTCTATTCGGTTAATAGGCATGAGGGTTTATCAACGGACTCAGGCTTTGTTCGCACACTAATCTTAGCCAACAGATCGCCGACCGTTTTCTGCTAGTAGTCATATTTCAACCAGTACTATTTTTACATTTACTAGCTGTCGTCCGCTAGCTGAGCGAACAATAAATGCAGTTAAAAATAACGTTACATTACACTCGTGCATGATTGACCAGTCAACCAAACATGTGCATACACTTTATCATGATTTTTTCATTCGATGTTTCTTCAATTTATAACCACGGCAATAATGATTGGGGGGAATAGATCATTGTTCGGCTAAAATCACCAGATTATTATGAGTAATATTATCATTACCAGGATAGACAGGCAGCAGGGGACTTTGCTAGATGCAGCCATCTTGTTACCAGCACTGCATCACTACAAAGTATTTAGTAATTATGCCTTCAGCATAGAGATCTGCTGAAATTTGCAAAAAGGCTTTTTCTTCCGCAGATTCACATGGGGCGGCGGTAAAAGTTATCATGAAATCATCGTGAAGTAATCACTGGTACCTATAATTAATCTAATCAGTTACATATACACACACACACACACATAGAGGGTAGCTCGTCTAAACTGGGGTTGTAATGGGTATTCTAATTGAGACGCGTGGAATGACGAGCGTCAGCTGAGTTTCTATTCACATTCGGGCAATGGTACTCACATATTTATTTAAGTTTATTTACATTGGCGCTAGGTAGATCAGTAATAGTTATAACAATTACGCACTATTCAGAAATATTACGTATGTCAGGTTTTTGATATTTTTTTAAAACTTATATCCTTCTCTATATTTATATTGCTAATAAACGAAATTGATAGAGATGTAATAAAAAAAAAAAATCTGATCGGATAAAAACTGTGTTCATTTATCCAAATGACTGACTATTAAGTAACTTGTGTGTTTCTTTTACTTGCTTCAGGTTTATCGATGTCCTACATACAATTAAGGAGCATGCATTCGCTGTATCTGAGTTCCCGCTAATCTTGTCTATTGAGAATCATTGTACGTTACCACAACAGCGAAAAATGGCAAACCAGTTCCAAGAAGTGTTCAAAGACATGCTTCTAACTCAGCCGATTGAACGAGATTCTCGCGAGATGCCCTCACCTCAGCAATTGCGAAGGAAAATTATTATCAAGGTTAGTGAGATTCTGTGTGGAGGCTTACAAGCCCCCGTAAAGTTTGGTTTATATTGGCCGTCTCTGGAGTATATACTTGTATCTCTTGATGTGCTGTATTGTACCTTTGGTAGTTGACAGGTTGCCAATGGTATAAACAGACCCGCAACAGCTCTTATCTAACGTCTGAAATTCCCTACCTATAGCTATTGTGACTAAAACCCTGCGCGTTGAAAAATAGACAAAGAAATATTGTAGATATGATTCACGAACACAGGACCAAGTCCGCTTCTCTTGATTTAAATAGGTTTTAGAGCCATCTCAGTTACGCTCTACGGTTATTGTCCTTATGAATTTTATTTCGGCTCTCGAATGAAAAATTATTATGATAGATTGGGCGTAATGGGTTTTATTTCTATAAACCAGTTATCCATATGAATAAATTTTATGTGGTAACTTGTTTACTGGTAGTTTCCTTATTTAATTGCGCATGTCCTTCTAGACACAACTGGCCCTTATCCCCATTTATTTTCGGCAGCAAGCCTCTACAAACCATCATATCCTTATCTACGTGCCGAAAATTAAAGCTTTTGAGCTCTAAAAGTTACTTTGAATTCAGGATGAGCCAGCGCTTAGCGGTAGTCACCAGTGCTTTAAATCATCAAAAACAGTTGATTCTCTGTTATTTCTTCCTGTACATATTTTACAGTAGCTACACGTACCTCATCGAGGTAATTGTTGTACGTTGAAACACAATTCGGTCGTTAGCAGTAGCGTCTATTGATTCGTGTTTCTGTATAGAAATAGCGACTGCAATGATAATTCGTGCTTCCACTTTACATTATATTTGTTCTATTAAGCTACTAGCCCCCGAGAATAATCCTTCGCTTAGTGAATTGTTACCCATTTTGTGAAACACTGCAGAAGAGTTCTGTTAAACGGTCCATTTTCACAGCCACATGTTCTTAGTTTTGTTGCGTTCAATAAAAGTTCACCACTTGTTGTTTTTTTTGACGCTTTTAATACCCTATTCCGGGCTGTCGATCGAAATACATTATACTGAGTAGGTCTCTTTTTAAAAATTGATTTTCCAAGTGGTCTCGCTCTTCCAAAACGTTTGTATTCTATAAAGGTACTTCAAGTGATTGAAATACAAGAAACAACGAGAGTATTTAATGAGAAAACAATTAAATTTAATGAAATAAATTAGCAAAATGATCGACTCAGTCGGAAGTAGGAAATACCAGTAGATGATAGGTGCTATCTGCGCTGTAAGCTTTATAGACTAATATTATGCAATTTGTTGTTGGACTTGTTAAGGTCCCATTATTGTTATTGGTCTATCCTGTTATTAAATATTTCACAAAGACTGTCCGCAGGCTTCGATAGGACCATCAGTGCTGCAATTCAAGAATTCCTGATTCCGTCTTCTCTGACAAAATCAGACAAGTTATGATTTATGAAAGCTGCCTTTGCAACGCCGTCACAGTTTTTGTTAGGAATGCATTTCTCTAACGAAACCTACGACTCTGACCGAATGTTTCATACAAATGTACATCCATTCACAAATAAATGGATCCCTTCTGTGACAAGATGGAATGTTGAGTGATAAATCCTGGCCAAGCAGCTAAACTACGACTTGAGGCAATGGCTTGCTATTGCCGCCTGCCACGAAAGGCGATCGGATAGGACGATAAATGAAATGTCACCTGAAAAGGCAACAAATCATTCAGCGTTGCCAGCCGGTGCGCCTCTGGCTGTCCGAACTCGTCGTGACAAAGGAAAGGGAGCTTGGTGTGGTCTGGCTTTATTTCAGCGTCATTTCATCTTTGTTTTTGTTTAAAATGGGGTAAAATATGCGCGGTCTAGCTTCCCGCACATTCACCACCGCTGGAGGGTAATTTCTTCGGGGTTTAGAAGGTAATACCATCGTAACAGATGTATCAAATACTTTGCATATATCGCACAATATTTCATCTTGTGCTTCTTCTATGTAGGTTCCAAAGCTGTAGGATTTACTTTTCATTTTTTATCAGCATCGTATCAAATATAAGCCTAATTGCATCCAAACTTCAATGGCGGAAATGCCCTTCCGTGTGGTTGCATGGTATCTCTACGCTAGACAAGAATCATTATGATTATTCAACCGGTTCAATGGTGTGTTTTTTTGTAGTAAAATTGTATGCCCAAGAAAAAACCAATGTGCACTACACGAGTAGCTATGGATCGTCAATACTCTGCTTTTCGCTACTCTTTCCCTGTTCGACAGAAACTTAATTGGGTACTGACTGTTTACACGGCCTTGAAAAATATCATTCGAATCTGAAATTGATGATAGATGCACTAAACATTATCACTGGGTTTCGTATATTGTGTTCCGAAGGTTTATTTTTTTGTTTTTATATGACATACTTTTGCTATTATGTTGCTTATTGCTCGATTAATTCAGTCGTTGAGGTACTTCCCACAAATCTCGTTTTCTTTTCAGAGAAACTCTGCTAATTAGTTTTCCAGCTATACAGGCGTTTTGTGTCTATGTAGAACTTCTATTTCTGCGCATGTTCAATTGCGGATGGTCGCGGAAGTTCGCTTGACCGTTTCACTTTAGCAATGGCACGCTAATAATAATACTGTTTCTGTTCTGTGATTGCAGCATAAAAAACTTCCGGAAGGTAGTGACGAAAAGTTTGTTGTGACTCGGGAAGACTCGATCGGACCTCAGGAGACAGATATATCCAACTCGGTGAAGAACGGCATCCTTTATCTCGAGGACCCGATAGAAAAAGAGTGGAAATCGCATTTTTTTATGCTCACCCAGAGTAAAATGTACTATGCGGTCGAAGAGCAAATTTCCCCGTCGCCCGGCGAAGAGGAAGACGATAGCGATAAGGAGTCTGTGCAGGCGACAGGACAAGCTAGAGAGGTGAGATTCACTTTAGAGGCGTACCTTCGCACGCCCCAAGTCGGTAACGTTATAATGACCGTCCGTGGACACATCTAAGGTTGAGCAATATCTGACATTAACTAATTCCTAAACATAGCAGAGTAAAATCACGTGTCTAAGTTCGCCTTTGTATAGAGTAAAGGTTCGACCCGAAGATAGTTATTCCTAGCATTTCATTTTTTTTTTTCGTTCGTATTCGATTTTGAAAATTAAGGATCCTTTGCATTTAAGTGTTTTGCTTTATCGAGTTAAAACATTTGAATTGTTTTTTGAGATGTGCCGTGTTCCCTGGATTGCTTGTTACGACCAGTACACTTGTTTCAAAATTAAATTCGCTGGGCAAAGTTCGGGAAAATCGCAAAAACGAGTATTTGAAAAGCCTTTTTGGTGAATTTGTAGAGACCTTTAGATCGTAAAGCCAGCAGTTTTGGTAATGCATAATCGTAAGGAGATAGAACGAAGGATCAATAGATACACGCATACATACATATACGTGTGTTCGTTTGAGCCTATACCAAATCCACGTATAGATGTCCTGTATGAATGATTTGACGCTTCGTCTATAGGCAACTATTTTCTAAGGGCCGATAAACGATGCGTTTGCTCTGCAAGAGCTATATTTTTTTTATTTGTCGTTCCTAGAATGGTCGGTAAAATGGTTCATCCGCCACATAACGAATAATATAATATGCCTATTCTCACACGATATAGACTTACAACGTTAACGTATCTAGTAAATCTTATGGCGTAGATATGTAGAATACGTAAATACAGAGAGAAAACATTAAATAGAATTTATTTCCACACATAAGGCCTAAAAATATATGCGAATGCAGCCATATTGTTAGTTCTGAGATATCTGTTAATAAGCGCTTGTAAACTTATGTATTAAGGCGTTTATAGCGATAGCTTTGTGTGTTTAGCTTATCGTATAGTTAATCGTATAGCAAATAGTTAACTTATCGTTTGTTTCACAGTAATAATTGTTTGACTATTCTTTTTATAGACCCGAGTAACTGTTTTTTGTGATTCTAACGATATATTTTTACGGAGCAATCTTTGCCTTGTTCACAAAGAGGCTTACCATTTAAAGCAGTTATTTCTATGAACACACTATTGCGCAGGTATTTCAAAGTGAATAGTTTAAATGCTATCGATATCTACACTGTAGATGCAATGGATAGGTCGTTGTCGAATCCATAATAGAAAGAATCTCATCGGAAACTATTGCAATTTTTTCCCGCTTTCGAGTTGTTGCAGGGGGTCACTTCAGATGAACTCCACTTTGGGGAAAAGTGGTTCCATGGCAAACTATCAGGAGGTCGAGCGCGGGCGGCTGAGTTACTTCAGCAGTTTTCTAACCTAGGAGATGGCACGTTCCTTGTAAGAGAATCTGACACGTTTGTGGGAGACTACTCATTGTCTTTCTGGAGACAGGTAAGTCGTCGGCGCAACGCATCCATGTAGATTTAACCGTGTTGTCGAGCCTTCTCTGAGGTAACCGGAGCGAAAATTTGTGGTCTCGATTTCCCATTGCATATCAATTTGATTATGGTTTCAACATTTACCCTTACGAAGAAACTTCGTAACCTGTTTAACACCATAGTTTTTTTGGCTGCTACGGCGCTTAGGTACGCCTAGGTGAATAACGACGCAATTTTTAGTAAATCGATACACAGTCTTTAATAGTTGGGCTGCTTTCTGTGGGAAAACAAAGGCGAATTCTTAAATAGAAACATTGACTGAGAAGCTCGCGCACCCCTGACCGGAGTGGTGAGATTTGTTGAGTAGTTCGCGCACATTTGATGTAGGCCGAGCCTTTGGATCCCTATTCTCAAGGTAAACAACCTTCACTTTGCCATCGATCATGTGAGAAAAAAGTAATGCGTCGAGGCATAGCATTAGGCTACGGTTAAAGGCATCCAATGCAATAAGAAATATAGCTCGATCAACCGTCTTTGCTGACCTATGAATTTATAAACCTTAAATGTGATCTATTAATATTAAAACACTTTCAAGGTTCAACGAAATGAGGAACGTCAGCAACCTTCCTGTTTACGGAGATCAATCTTTCTAAAAAAAGGGAAACCCCTTGAGAGATTATGTCGTCAATGTATTCGACAACAGATACTTAACAGAGTTTTCGCATATATTTTTCAACATATTGACATTAAATCCGCCGAAAAGACTAATCAGAGCTGAATACATTAATTAGATAAATTATGCCACAGTTCTTTTACACGACCTTGTCTAGTCATGCAGGTTATTGTAGAAAAAATTAACATGAATCGCCATATTCTAGTATCTTATATTGTGCTCCCTTTACCACGCCCAATATGCACTTCATTCATCCATGTTCGTCCCTGTAAGGTTTCGTTGGGCTTATAATGAGGATGAGTTTTAAAAGAACCCCTAAGGATATCGGGGTTCAGTGGGTGGGCATTCCACAGAACCAGATGAATATCCTAGCGGTAAATTTTAGCCAGTATAATGCCTCATAATGCTAGCATAACCTCGTTAAAAAAATCTGCACCTGACTATCTAGGTTTTAAGTTAGCAATCAAGTAAACACCTTTTTGAAATCCAAATCTACTTCCAGTGTAAAAGTAAACTCCAGAAGTGGGCTAACTTTTCTGAAAACAACAAAGGCAAATTAAAAAAACGATTCCATTTACTGTTTGTTCCGTAATTCGTTCGAGAACTGCACGACCAAGGAATTGTATGCATTTACTTATAACCTGTCGTTGTAGTTTACACTTTTCCCGTCGTTAACGGCTTCCTTTCTGCCCTTTTCTTCAAGCCAATTTTGATGTTTAGGTACATTTTCTACTTCTAGATTAACTCGTCAAGCGGTACTATTCGAAAAGAACCTATAAGGATGCACGTTCTTGTAGTCTAGCATTGTTTATAGTTATTATTGGAACCAAGGATATTACCTAATAACATCAAACGATCCTGGCAGCAACGGATACGGGCGCTGTGTTAAGCCTAATTGAATGGTTCAATTCATAGTATTGGCCTAGATAGACGGTATTATATAAGTGCAGCAATAGTAGTAGTACCGGAGCAACGCGTAGGGGTATGCAATTCATTATATACACGTTATGTAACTGCTATCCAGTCATAAGCTTCAGGGCGCAATAAATATCGATGACCATAGTAATAACTATTTACTGGTATTATATGCTCCCGAAAGGACACATTTTCTACTAGTATTATCAATCTAATAAATTAACAAATTAGATGAGAGTAGACTGTGTTGAATAATGTAACAAGCGAGATAGGTGATAGTCATCGTGCAGTAGTACATTAATGTACCACCGTTCAATTAAATAGCCGGGACTTTACGTTGTGTGCAGTTTTTATGCCAAAGTGACTGACAGACAATATCGACATCTTCTTTATTAGAAAAGCTCGGGTCATGGGGTAACAAAATTTGAACAACTATTCGAGGGGTATATAGCGAATGTTACGAGATGTCAGTGCACAAATGTGTTTAAAAGATAGCTAAATAAGTAGGAACATATTGTGCCATTTGTTATCTTGTTGATGTTTTGGCACGTTGGTTTTAGGCGGACACTGTAACTAATCTTACTATGTAGTTCTACTGACGGCTCTTTTATTATTTGTCCGTATGTACACGGCTATTTCGTTTCAAATGTGAACTGTTTTTTTTTTATGTTACTGCTGCTTTCCAGGGCAAAGTAAACCATTGTCGGATTCGTACTAAACAAGAGCGTGGTCAAACGAAATACTACCTTATCGATAGTGTGTGCTTCGATACGCTCTACTCGCTCGTAACTCACTACCAGACACATCCTTTACGTTCTCAAGAGTTCTATATGTACCTCACCGAACCTGTACCTCAACCGAATAGGTAAAGGATATGCAACTATATTCTGCTTCGTTGGAATGAATATAATTGTTCTTTAGTTACTTAGGTTAATTAATTAATTTATCATGTATGTTACAACAGTACGGTGGGTCAAGGTCAAACCATGTTCTATAATACTAACTGAATGCGCCAAGCTATAGAGGCAACTATACCGAAACAAGCGGCCTGATCAACTGTCTCCTAACATAAATGGTAGGCATAACGTTCAACTTTATTTCATTTAACATGAAACGTAACTTTGCCATATTTGAAGTTTAAGTCCGCAAGTGAATTAGCTATTTTGCGAAATTTGTTGGGGTTGATTGTTCGTTAGGTCGATTTCATCTTTTGTTCACACAGCGGTACATTTCTATCTGTTACTCAAAATAACCGAAGTTACAGTTCTCAGCATACGATAGAAAGGCATCTTTGCTGTTATGACCTGCCCCGACAGCACTGATAGTTACAGCTAGGTCTTGAGTGTCGGGCCTAATTCAGTTCCGCTAATAGGAAATTCAGCGGTTTACCGCAGGGCCGCTTCTGGCCGAGACGAATTGCTACTTAGGTCGATATGTCGATGCCAGTTTACTATGATTGGTATTATTTGCTGCTACGACCGGAAATGAAGGCTGTTGCCAATGCGTAAGAGCTGACAATGATGTGTTTGTTTGCGTGTGACCACCCGTGAATGATGAATCTGCTAATAAAGTGTACGTTTCGATCCTCACTGATCCCCTAACATTTTCAACCATAAGCAGCTGCCGTGAAGAATTCAGTTTTTTCCACAAACTAGTCTTTACCGAAAAGATCGCAACCCGGGTATCGATTCGATCCATATCAATACATATACCGCGTTCCGCATGATAAGATATAATGAATTGCCATTCAGGAAAACGTTTATATACCAATTCCAACCCGTCTATCTAACAGATGCATGCATTTTATAACTTGGTGTCATCTTTGATTGTTTTCCAGCCATGAGGGTAAAGAGTGGTACAGTGCGACAATTAGCAAATATAAAACGGAAGAATTACTCAGAAAGGCTCCATTCGACGGTTGTTTCATCGTTAGGCCATCCGAAAACAAAGCAGACAACTGCTTCGCGTTGTCATTTAGGTAATGTATAAAAACACATTTATACATAATAAACAGCACATACCTGCTTGTAGCAAAGACAAAAACGATGTTTATGTTAAATTACCATATTAATTCCGACGAAGTGGAGCCCTCCGTGATAGATTAGGATCAGATTATCGCGTTATTAAGAAAAGCATAGTTGTTCTTGATTGACTTGTTGATTTGTGCCTAATGTAAGCCTTGCTTGCTTGATTGGTTGGTCTTCTACATGTTTTAGTGGACGACTACAAAAACAATGGGTGATTTTTATCCTAAAAACTTTAACTTGAAAGTAGTCCTTCGCGGTAAGAAATTTCCACTGTATACGTAATATAATATACTGGTTTTCTACTGAACTGGATCGCTGTCCTATCTACTAACAAGCGAAGATCTGCGCATGAAATTGTTAAGCTGGCCAATTGTAGCCTATTGTTTGTGTTGATCCTATATAAGATAATAAAAATTCATCCTCCATATTGACAGCCTTTATTGTGTTTCTAATTAATCTATTTGTTTCGTTGAAATCGTATCAATCACGTGTGTACCTTTGCTGCCGAAGACCTCTGTCGATGTTTTTGTTACTCAACCGATTCAAGGTTGCCTCTAAAGCATCCCACGATTTTGGCGTTGCTCTAATCTAACGATAAGAAAGTATTGTATTGGTTTTGACAATTACCGAAAGCATATTTCACTGATGATTTTACTCTATGACAAATTCGGATCCCATATTTTTTCACGTTCTTCTACGATGAAAGTTGTACCTTGAGAAGCGTATCAAATTGCCGTTAGTAGTGACTGAGAAATCCAAAAGCCATATGCGTTAATAATGCCGTCGGCTAGAACCTTACAGAATGAACGCAATGCTTTGTTATATCCATACATTGTAACTTCGCTTTCCGTTTAAGTTATCTAATAACAGTATAACCGTAACGTAGTGTAGTCGGCGTAGACCGAGTAAATATCGTAGCTTAATACTACTCAAGACATTAGCAGACTTACTTTTTCGTGTTTTCCCTAGTGTCCATCACCTGTCGTTTGTACTTAGCTGGGTAGCACGACAAAACTACCCATATTCATATTCTACGTATAAGCAATCTCGTTAGTACTCGATATATCTAAAGGGTATTGACGCGTTGCAAAAATATGCTTCCCATTGGAATAGTATTAATCTAGTACACCCAAAAAACAGAACTTGACCTATCCTTTAATACTCACTTAAGGACAAAAAAACGTTCGCGCAGTAAAGACAATAGCAACGGCTCAACCGCAAATTTGATTTAAATTACTAATGAGTCGTAAACCGCGTATTCAGCGATTGCGATATAAGAAAGCTCGTTTTAGTTAGACAATCAAAATACTATTGTTATCGCATATATAAATCTAGGCGACCTATAAAACGATCATTTATCATTCTCTAGAGATGCTCCAGTTGCTATTTATATTTGTTCAAGAGCTAAACTTTGTGCTTGTCGTTCCGCAGAGCGGACGGAGGGATCAAGCATTGCCGAATTCGTCAAGAAGGCCGACTATTCATACTGGGCAATGCGCACTTCGAAAGTCTCGCCGACCTGATTGCCCACTTTGAAAAACACACCCTGTATAAGGGCATCACGCTTAAGTAAGAATCATTTAAATAATGGATTTTTTGATCCAGTTAAATTGAAGTCGTCCCTCCACATTGAGCTAGTTCAGCTACTGGAATAACATTGCCAATCATCATTCACTGTCTTGATCAAACATATCTTGATTGAATGACACGTTCGTGTTGTTTTGTTTTTAGTCGATTCCCCGTCTGCGATAGTGGATTAAACCGGCTTTCAGACGATGCTACTAATTTAAGCTCGATGCAATCAGACCTCGGCCAGTATATGGATCCAAACCACTTTAAGAACCAAATCACCGTAAAGGCCCTCTACGATTATAGGTGTAGTATACCAACTGAGCGCCTGCGTTATTTTTTTCTAACAGCGACTATACATAAAACAACGGTCATCTTTAAACCCGTTATTAGGTTCTGTTGGACTTGGATTGCCTACCAAACACCTTAAAATTTGATTTTTTACTGAGAATGATTTATTTCTAGTGGCTGAGATATAGCATCTTAGCCATAGCTGCCCTTCTCCGTAAGGCTGCTGTTGAGAATAGTAATTGATACCGGAGATGATCTTCTCGGGTAACTTACAGGGCGCAAAAGTCAGACGAACTATCGTTTCCAAAGCACGCTATCATTACGAACGTCGTCAAGCAAGATGGCGGTTGGTGGAAAGGCGATTACGGTGGAAAAAAGGAACAGTATTTTCCGGCAAACTTCGTTACTGAGGTGAGCGCAAGTGACGTGGCATTAGAGAACGCGAGCGGCGCTGGCGGCGAGGGCGACGATGGAGAACTGGCCCCACTTGGAACTTTGCAAAAGGGCTGTATCGATATTGCAGGTAAGAACACTTAGCCCGTATGGGTTTTCATCGCTTAGCGCAGGACACATCCATTTTGAATCAAAAAAACCATGAACTAAGAAAAGTACATTTTACTACAAAAAAAGTCGGTAGCTGGTTGTTATTCTCTCAAAGGATATAATTTCAATGTAACAGCCGAACTCTGTTGGAAGCAACTGAATGCAAAAACGCCGTAAGATTGTTTGCGACGGATATGACCACCTGCATTGCCAATACGTAGTTTATAAATAACCAGGTTTATCTTTCTTGTTAGGCTGTTCTGTGGAAGTCCTTCAAAATCGTGGCAGATTTGTATTCCGAATAACGTCACCGACTCAGTCAATGCAAAAAGACATCGCAGCGCCATCAGCAGAAGAAATGGAAGAGTGGATTAACAAGATTCGCCAAATCGCTCAGTCCGCTAATGATATGGTTTGTGTTTTGAAATTTCGGCCCGCTGAAAGCACGAACAGACAAGGGTAGCTCCTTTTAAATCAATTATATGGGGGCAGTATGTGGAACTAAATTATTTCAAAAGCTACTGTATTTAGTACTGTGTCTTGGGGCTATTTTGGCGTTCGATCCCTTCAGATCTGATGGAAATTCGGAGATGCACATACGTGCTATGTAAAAGCATGCGTTTCATTACGTATTAAGACAAGGCTGTTTATTATTTCGGTGATATTTTTGTTTATCATAACGTTACTGTTGGATGTTTGCTGATCGATAGTTGGAACAGCGGAAGGAGATGGAGCGCAGTCTTCGATTGGCCAAAGAATTATCAAATCTAATTATCTACTGCCGATCAGTCCAATGGTGCCCCGAACGAGCCGGGAACTTCTGTGAGATGTCTTCATTTCCCGAAACGAAGGCTGAACGTTTACTTCTTCCAGGCCACGTAAACTTCTTCATGCGTTATCATCGACTACAATTCAGTCGAGTGTATCCGAAGGGCAGTCGAATCGATTCTTCCAATTACGACCCTGTGCGATTGTGGAATGCTGGCGTACAAATGGTGGCGCTTAACTACCAGACACCAGGTAAGGAAAAAGCTCGTTATAGAATTCTCACTCTAGTCATTCATTCTAATCGTGAGTATATCTATCATCGAATTGTTATGGTGGAAGTTACACAAAGTCTTAGTTCATAGCTCAAGAAGAATTTCCTTACACAAATGTTAACAAAGCTTTAAATATGAAAGTTTATTGGCTCGTTATTATTACTTACATGTGTTTTTCAATTCCAGATCGACCGATGCAATTAAATGAGGCTCGATTTATTCAGAATGGACGATGCGGCTATGTGCTTCGGCCAGAGTACATGTTTCAGGACAATTTCGACCCATACGATCGGAAGAGCCTTCCTGCCAACGTGAAAGCGTGCGTGCTCAGCATAAGGGTACGTATTCAGTCTTGATCTAGTTTTCTTATTCATGTAGGCAATGATCAGCCTTAACGGTCGGAGCAGGAAAAGGGATACATTTGGTGGCGTTGTTTGTTTGCATTATCGTTTCTTGCTTACCGATTTAGCGCACATTTTATTTCCACGGAAAAGATCTGGCAATTGCAGGAAGCGTCCAGCCAGTCTACAGTAACCAGCTTAATTAACATGTTGTCGCAAAGTGATTAGTACAACAGTGCTGGTGGGGGTCAATTGTAGTCCTTAGAGCGTGAAATGTGAAAATACCGCTTTACCGAGTTAGTGATTGTTTATATTTTCGCGTACGTTTAGTCCAGTGTGGAAATTTCAAAGGGGTTTGCCTTAAACTGGACCCATTAGACTGGCATGCAACATTAGCAATATCGATATAAATCATCCTCGTATTACCCTGTTTGTTTCATCCTTGTTTACGAGAGGATATAGGCCACAATGTTTTTTTTTCAAATTATGATACATGATGGCTGCATCAAATACGCTTGGGTCGTCACAGAGTCGACCATTTCCTTGAATAGGTTCAGGCGCATATCCGCGGCAGTGAAAACATTCGCAATAGTCATATATATACACACTAACTAGTGCTTACTTTTTTTTATGTATTTTAGATCATCGGAGCCCGTCATCTGATGAAGTCCGGCCGGGGTATTGTTAGTCCTTACATTGAAGTTGAAGTCATTGGCGCCGATTATGACTGTGCCAAGCAAAAGACAGTTACAATATGTAAGTAGCTCGTCGTATTCTATCCTGCGCCTTTCCTAGCAGTGTGAAATTAAGCCTGCTACGTACGTTTGACAGTAATAGTTTCTCACGTGCACGTGGGGGCCAAACGTTTTTGCGTAGTCACCCCCAGGGAAAAACAGCCGTCTCAGTAGTTGTAAGCGACACGCCTCGACTAATAGGGCAACAAAACGTTATGGTAAATAGGAACATTATAAGGATTAGATTTCACAGAAGCACGTTTCTTTATCTGACGAAAATTGCAAAATATCCGAAAACGATATCCGAATGTAGATCGTTGTAGCCGACTGCGTGCAATGTGATAATAGGGAGGAACAACTGTATATAGCTTCGATGAACCAGTATAGGTAAATATCGAAAAAGGCATGAACGTCGTCGGATAAGCTTATTACGAATAACCAAATACATATAATTAACAAAATAAACATTTAGATAAAATAACTAACGCCAGGCGCGATTAAACTTCTACTTTAAATATTCATATTTACTCGAGCCGAACGCGGAATGAACAGACCGGGTGCCGTTACCAACTTGAAGCAGCCAAAGACAGCAGTTGTAGATGCTACACACACACACACGTTAGGTCGCACAGTATATAAACGACGGATTACTTTAACTTACGGATGCAGTTCGGCTGATTTCACTTTGTAATAACAAACATTAAGTTTACACTTATTTTGATTTCACTTTCCTTCTATGATAGCTAATTTCATTGACTTTTAGCGGATAATGGCCTGAATCCATCGTGGTCAAACGAGCACTTCGTGTTTGACGTCATGAATCCTGAATTGGCCCTTCTGCGATTCGCAATATTTGATGAGGACATGTTTGGAGAACCAAATTTTCTTGGCCATGCAACGTATCCGCTGTTGTGTCTACGACCAGGTTATAGATCGGTTCCGCTCAAGAACGAATACAGCGAATCACTAGAACTTGCCTCGCTTCTTGTACATTTTAACATGAGTCTGGCAAAGGTAGGCAAAACTATTGGCATAAATATTGTTATTTTTCTTTTTGTAAATCTAATTCTATTCGAGTTTTCTGCACGTTAGTATTTAATGGCGTTGAGAAAGAAGATATTCGCACTGTCGTATATTGGCCCTTGATTCAATATATTACAACATTGTCTAGCTCAGCTGGAAAAGAACACACAAGGAAAACAATGAGTTTTAATCGAAAAATGGATACTGACTGTCTTTACGACCAAAAGTAGCCAGCATCGCGTCCACTCACAAGACCGAGCATCATTCGTAAGAAATAGATCTATATTACAAGGACTCGGATGTAGTATATAATCAGTTGTAGTTTCCACTATGCGTACTGTCTTCTAGACTACGTTTTGCAATCGGATAAAGCACAGGGGAAGGGGTTGTTGCCTGCTCGCACGCCCCGAACACTCATACCCAGCACGCTTATTCGCTAACTTTTCTAATTACAACAGTATAAAGGATGGTTGTTGTTTTTCTTTTATTATTGTCGTGTCTATGACATTGCGACCAGCAACCTTCGGCGCGTCGTACCAGCTCTGGCCACCTTCCCCGGGACTTGTCGCAAGCCACTCTTCACTTTTTACGTTAGTCACGTCGTAGTGTAACGTACAGCCAAACGTAGAGAAGTGCATAGGCTGATAGGCTGGTCAGAAGCCAGGCTTCGATGAAGGTTTTTTCTGCTCCCGTTGTTCCTATGCGCATTAGCATGCCTCCATTGCCCTACGAAGGTTACTCCCGGCAGTCCTTTAACGTATATGAGCGGCCATGTCAACGGCGGTGTTCGTTAAGCCAATTTGTCGTCACGCAAGCATTGTTGAACAGCGGTGTCGCAGCGTTGCTTGCTATTATAATTACACTGTGTTTGTAGTATAATTAGAAAAGATAGGCAAAGCCAGGACCGGCGTCGAAACTATTGGCAGGCACGTCCCACTTGCAAGCAGAGGCTTAACTGGATTCAGGCACCAGTACGGGGGTCACGTGATGCTTTTACTTGCTATAACCGCTCAACTCTTCCTATGATATGCGTAGCCTAAATCGACTGCAGTAAACGGAAGTGACAATTTTTTCTGCGGATTCATCGCTTCTTTTCTATCTTTTGTTCTATTGATAAATAGATACGTTTGCAAAAAGGCTAATTTCTTCGGAACACGAATGTATAATGCAGCATCGTTCGATGCTACGCTTTATGTTACGCTTTACGCCCCTTTACAGGTTTTGACCAGACAGTCGATCTAAATGGAAAACCTGCAATATAATTGCTTAGTATTTCATTAATTCTGTGAGGGAAAACAAGAAGCACCGCTTCAAGTGTTCGAAGAATGTACGATCTACCATAGTTCGCACAACGTAATATACGTTCGAACGTCGAATGGGGTTGAGGCTATTGATTTGCTCTTATAGCGATCGGATGAACAGTGACTGTTTATTGGCTGCCTAATATACGACTTGCTATATGACATGAAGCTGTTTTAAGTTCGCAGAACTTGTTGTTGCTGAACAAAAAGTTCTTGCAAGAACTTATGACAAACATTTATTGGCCTATTCGACAAATATTGATCTTAAATGAAGTGTTGGCTCTCGACACAGAGATTTCTATAGGTGGATGTGCGCGTTATCGTGCGCGTGGATTTATCAGATATTTGCATTCGTTGGCTAGTACTCGTTCAATGTATGAACGTATGATATCTCGTAACATAAAGTAGAAATAACCCATTTGTCCTAATAACAAACCAGCTGTTTTATTGTCGTTTGTACCTGTCAGCGACGCATTGGAGACCACTGAATAACGCTAATTGTATGAGTTCAATTAACAGCAAAGGCACCTTTGAATAGAAAGGAACCGTTAGCAACGGAAAGTGTTGTAACAAGGAGGAAATTCGGATCTGCAACTACAGGAGTTTGACAATACTACTATTAATATTATTCTGGTTAAATATAGATTATGTCGAATATGGCCTGAGCAAAAAAGTTATATGCCGTCTGAAATTACAAAAATTTTGTGCACTTAAAGGAGTGGATGAAGTGAACAAAGTGGTCAGCTGCAAAGCAAACTCAATGCTTTCGCCATACCGAAAGGAGAGTTGGTATAGGTAAGATGTACACAGACGAATCCTTAAATTCAACCCGGATAGATTTAACAAATCCGATCCTTGCGAACTACGTTTTCCGTACAAGTACACATTGGCTCCTGTTTTTGACCCTATTACGCTCCGATACCCTACAGCATAACCACAATATCCTCCACCTTTACATACTTGTGCGAATATCTATACAAGACATAGCTATAGATACATCTGTTGGTGCAGATAAAACCTATCGGCTACCACACAAACTCCGTTTTTCTCCTTGTCTGAACTTTCACTTTTGAATAGAAATACGAGTCAATTTTACATGCTTGCTCGATAATTCAGCAGTTCTAAATATTTTGCATGTATCATATGCACATAAACCGATACAACTGCTAAATTTGTTAACACAAATCGACCGTTCATTATTATTATTTTAGTCGTTTTTGATTGATATCTAAAAAATTAAATGTGATCATTAATCGGTGGAAGGGCAGAGACCTTGACGGCAATTTAAGTTCTAGCTCTTGTTAAATGAGCCTATTCGTTTTTCGGTTGCCAATTCTGTTAATTAGAAGAAGTGAGCTACTAGAGCACGTTTTTATTTTCTTGTTAGATTCATTTCTATTCCTCTCTTTGGTAGAAGATGCAAACTAATCTTCATTGAGCTACCTCATACTACATATGATGCATAAAAATAGTACTGGATTGTAAGTTGTGGCCTTTGATTTGCCTGCTACATTCAACCGTTCTAGCCCGAGGACGAGGTATACGCGTCGATCCAAAAACTTAGAGATGAAACCCGTGAACTCGATGCCCTTGTTAGTTCGGGTAATTCGGACGGGACCCTTGACGCCGAAACAGAACAACAGTTACGCAGTGCCCTATTAGAAAAAAAGGAACAACTTCAGACCAAAACTGACAACAGAAGGTAAAATGATGATGTTTTTTTTCAGACAAACGATCTGTCTGTTGTATTTAGGGACGCTAGTCATGTTTGAGGCTTCACGAAGATGTGGGTCTTTGTTTCTTTATATGGCGATGATTCCAAGCCCAACAGAACTGCTGCATCCGATTCGACTCATCTGATGCTTTGATGTTTTTCAAGCCTTATCTTTGTGTCTCTGACTTATTGTTCACTTAATATGCCATTATGTTTCTCCTTCATTATGTTAACGGTTATTCTTCAAACTTTCAAAGTAATTGCTCCCACAGTGCGACGTTTATATATTAAACCTAATAAAGCTGGTAAACTCTTTCCCTAAATACAAAACTGACTTCTGCAAACTCAAGCTCTTTGTTTGTCATACGGCAAATTGACTTTTATGTGTATGCCTATAATTATTGCAAAATAGTTAATAATCAGACTATGTTTTATTTATGTCATTACAAGCAGCTCGAAAAGAAAGTGAATGGTAAGTGTGCCGGCACTGTGAAGAAGTGTGAGCCATATTAGGAAATTCTATATCAGTAGAGTACTATTCGGACCCGTGTTAACAGAATTCAGTTTAAATTGTACCTAAACTCCTTGAGTTTGATCATTCTTTCGAATTTCTGCTAGAAGAAAAATAGAGAGCAAGAGAGAGAGAGAGAGAGAGAGAGAGAGAAGTTAAAATTGATGAACTTGGTTAAGAATAGATCTAGTTAAACCGAATAACCACCTGTTTAAAGGAAGGAGACAACACGTGTAACGAAGCTAACTCGAATTGGTTAGTCATGGAAAAAATTGCCACCAGCGTATACTACAACAGAGTTATCATTGAATTAGTGACCATTTTCCGTCCACAGATGGGGCAACAAACGGCTGCTAACCGAGCATTATACATATTCAGAGCCTTTTCCTAAAAACAAAGTGCGAAGTTAACATCTACATATTGCAATTGAATTTGCAGGCGGCTGTTAGAGCTCCAGAACTCGGTCACCTCGAAATAACACAAAACGGGGCGCGACATGCGTAAAAAGCGTGCACGATTTTAACCCCATTTGTCCTACAGAAGAAACGGACAACAATCTAATTGTTGTTAGTCAGGTCTGCATAGGGATAGAAAAATATCCGAACTCTGATCCTGAACAGTGTTAATGCCGTTTATTCAGTAGCAAAAATAACGACGTCCTGGAGTCTACATACGGCATCTAACCCTTCAAGTAAAGTAACTATACGCCCGTGTACGAAGGAGCTAGAGCAGCCCATATATGTACCTTCATTATCAAATACGAAAACGCTTATCCAATAACTAGCCATTGCCAACTGGGCGGTTACTTTCGCAGCAGTCTACAGCTCATAACGCCCCACAAAATCACGGATATTAACAATAGTTGAAATACGTCTGATGCACAGACTCTAAGCGGACAAATACGTACAACAAGGTAAAGAGCGACGTTCCCTACGGATAAGCACACGAGGTGCTGCGAATACTCAATGAGCACTACGAGGTATCTTGGATAGACGATTTTGTATCGTGAGCGCATTAGCAGTTAGAACCTAAATATGAAGAGAGAAAATTCGATGAAGATCTGCATCAGGGAGGCAGCAATTTGTATATGCATCTTAGGTAGAATTAGCAAACAGACAATCGAATTATTATTGTTATAACAAAACGGAGGAAATTAGAACGACTGAGAATAGGGATAAAAGGTTAGCGACGAAGCCTCGTAATACATTGAGACGTGCCAATGACGACTGTTATTATTACATACATATTATTGCTATTGTGCAGCGCTTTAACGTTCAGGGTATTATGGCCGCTATCAATGACCACGTATTCCTATGTTTTTCTTTGCTTGCCGAAGAGTCGATCATACAGACATAAGTTTATATCCCGTCTAGCTTCATTGTCGAGGAACAAATTTCGTTGTATACTCTTCGTCGACAATCATTGAGACAAAGTGAATGGCGTACGAAACGAGGATCGACAGCGAGCCAGTACTTCAGTATGTCTTAAAGCCATATGTATAGGTAATCAATCGAAAAATTCGTGAGATACACACGGATAAACTTGCACATCTAAACCAGATAGGAAATAGATTGTTGTGCGATAGCAATGGTGCCAAATATTATTGCTACGAAACATTAGAACAACAAACAGGAGATAAAAGTGAAGCAGAAGTAAACAAATAGATATAAGTACTATGTTAAAGATGCGAACTTTTGACATGGCAAACAATGTTCGATAGTATGCGAACGATCCGATTTGAATAAGGCGTTCGTGCTTACAAAGGTATTTTTCTATCTTTTTCAAATTTGGTTGTTTGCAACGGTCCTTGTGCTAATGTTCATATCATTTTGGGAACGCATCAGTGATGCTACCCAATGATCGTGCTATTGACTCGAAGAAAAATGAAATCAGATAGTAGAGTTTCTATAAGCAAGACGTCCAGTTGACCTCAACTCGACAATTGAAGCAGCAGTGGCGACAAGCAGACGACAAAATCTGTAGTCATCGACCATATATTGACATAAGGGTATGTACGTCTCTATATATATATATATATATATATTATAAGTGCACGGTTTATACCTATTAATTCAATGGATTCGAAGTAACCATACTGTGTCATGTGTGAGCGATATTATCATACGATTTAGATCATCTTGAATTCGGCGACAATATAAATAGTGATATTTTGTCGAAAATGAAAAACACTTTGCCCTCTGCCTTCATTGAAGTTTCAGCTGATATTAATCGCTGTTAATTAGTGCTATGTTGTGTCAAAATGTTGCCTAAGAAGAATCGCGACGACCCCTTCAGATCTATCCTCAGTTTATTGGTTCTTTAGATCTGTTTCAGTGATAGACAGTCCGCATTCAATGATAAGCCTAAGTCGCTGAAGCCATGTTGAAACGCCGATTTCACTTATTGTTAATGATTCTGTTATGAGAACGTTACAATGAAGCTTCTATAAAATTGCTATGAAACATATTCTACCTTGAGATTTTTTCGAGTGGTTGAAGAATCCCTGTGATTGATTTTTATGGCATCTATTCAGTTAAACCGGCGGAATCCACAATGTTGGCAAAAAAAAAAAAAGATCTGCTGAATTGATGATCGATATGCCCTTATTGATCATACCATTTCCAAATTAGCGCAGTGAACACTAGTGAATGTAAGAAAGGTCTGATGGATATGACTGCTGATACATACAAATTGGTTGTGTATAATGCTAAACATTTTAGTTCAACCTTACAAGCTCAATTTTTGTTCTTGTCATAGTGCATATGGCGTTCTTCGCTAGTACATTTTAATTGCGTCTGTTAAGAACAAATGACTATGGTGCTAAAAGTACGAGACCAAGGACAAACGTTAAATAAAGCATGAAAATGTATGTTTTTGTGGTACGACTCAATTGTATAACTCACGGGTTTCTATACGGACTTATTGGGCACCTTTTAATTCCAACTAACATACGTACACACGAACGTCACGATTACATGTGCATTGTATGAACTGAAAACCCGTTCTGTTGAGCTTGCACAGCACATGTACATATTCAGATAATGCAATCGCGAAGATAAACAACATTAGATAATACTTAAGCCAATATTCATTTGGTGGTTTTTTATCGTTCATGCATGAAAATTACTACACACTTGTATACATACTTGAAGGATTCATCTCGAAGGAATTACATGGAATATCTATGTAGATATTTTTTTGTCACTGATGTGGATAGCGACTCCACTCACGTGTGGGTGCAAAGAAAGTTGTATCGATATAATTAGCTTATGATCTACATCTTTGTTTTCATACATTCCTTTTTGCTAGTAGTTTAGGTATGAGCAACACAGTTTGTATAAACGTATATAGGAAGTCATGTTGAAAGTTCTTGAACTTGGCATTTAAGTGAGCTTGAATCATAGTGAATATTTTCATTATCGCGTTACCCATTCAACTAAACTAGTGCAGTATCAACGAGACAAATAAAACTGGTTACATCATCTTAATGCTTGTTTTTTGTATCGTATTAGAGGAGACGTTTACGGGATTCCTCCAGGGAATATACAGCCAATTTAACTTGGGCTTGTTTCGAACACTTTCTTGGTCGGACAGATTGAAAAAATCCACCAGTGCCTTCGTAAATTTTTGCAGTCGCACCAACTCAAACTGCCTTTGCACACGTTGGATATATTATAAGAAAGTAATTTTGAGTAAAGACAAAACAGGGCTCATCTGTCCTCCTGCATCTTGTGGGTTTTTCAGTTTCTTGCATACTCTACAAAAGTTTCGTTACAGGTATTTGTACTGACGTGTATCAGTTATTACAACAGTTTTTAATATTAATTCTAATATTATAGTCAAACTGCTAAGAAATTTTAGTATGTGGTCTTGTACGTCAGACCAGATCGGCGGGGATTTTGTCGTTGATCCTTTTCTTAAAGTATTCTTCTGTAGGCCAATTCACGAGCTTCGGGAAAAAAACAGTGTCAAATTTATACGGCGTAATTGACTACTTCGATAAGTAAGCATTACTCTTTAATTTCTATTAAGGGTATTTATAGTGATGTTTAAGAATTTGACATGAGGTCGCAAAATAGTGCATTGGTTGAAAAATACATGGGGCGCGAAAGTATCTAGAGATGATAATGCAATCTGTTCGCGCGTAGCCGTTAAAGCTAAGGTTTAGCCATTTCTGATTGATATTCATGGCGGCATCCAGTACCTGGTTGCCGCATGCTCTTTTGGAGATACATCGAAAAGGTCTCTGGGGAGCCCTAGGCTATTGTCCCTGTTTGTATAACTGCCCCCGAATTTCCTCTCCTCCCACTCTTGGGGATGTACAGCTATATCGAGACTAACGACCCTCATTTTCCGATCACGTCGTTTAAAACGCGGAAACTTTTGCACTAGTACTAACCCAAATCAATGTGTAGAGCTGATGTAGAACTCAGCTGCCTTTTAGTCGACTGAGAATAAAATGCCTTACGTACAAAATATACCGTTTAAGTACGGATATTCATATGAAACTTAACAGTCTACTCACATATAAAATATAACACAATACTCTACGAAACATTGGCTCAACGACAGAGTCATTTAAGCATAGATATGACTGGTAAATACGTAAACAGTTTTATTAACAGCCTTAGAACGGCCTGTCTCGTAATGATTTCACAGGACATTACGGAGCAATGTTATAAACTTGTAGAAGATGATCGAGTTTTCGCTTGATCCGTGTCTACATGGTAGGCGCGTCACATTCGAGTCTTTTTTTGGTTAACTTTTAGTTCTTATAACGTCAAAGCTTCCGTTAGCTACCGTGATTACCAGGTACTGGCGAAGTACAGGCGAACGTGTCTGTTTCAAATGAACAGTTTTCGGCCAAAGGTAGCACATTATGTATACTTGTTAACTATATTGCACACTTAGCTAAAAAAAGAAGCTTGATCGTTTTTATCGACGTGACACATTTGACTTTCAAATTAATCCGGTAATGAATAGCTGGTGTCAACGGAATTTATACAAAGTAAAAAAACGCTCGCTGCTTCAATATTTTTACGCGTTGGACGATTAAATTTAGAATCGTAACAATATGTGGATGAAACATTGTTTTTAGTGATACGGTAACAATACCATTGTTAGAATAATCATCAGATTAGCGCCGTGTACCCTTTTTTCAGAGAGCCCAGAAAGCTTATCTGAAACGAGATGCAAACATTTTATAGTAAAAAAAAGTGCTATAGCGTACACATAATCGGAACTTGTTGCTGTGCCCTCTTTCGTAGCTAAGCTTTGTCGGATGTGTTGCTTCTGATACATTTGCTATCCTTTCTGGATGTTCTGGGTTTCGGTTCTCGTTAGTTGATAGAGCCGCCTCGGCCTTCGATCAAAAATCAGATAAATCAATGGATCCTCTTTCCCATCCAACGGCAATCGCTTTTTAGTCTCTATGGCAACAACGGAGTTCAGTCTGGACATACTCGTCGAATGCCTTCGTAGCTAAGCGTAGCGACTGCATGCCTTCTTTGAGTGCCCGAAACAACGAGACAGCAGCCTGTTAATGGGCACGGAAAAACTATAGCCCAAAAACTGCCACCAGGATCTCGACGTACAGCAAGCGCTATTAGGACATAGCCATAAATCGGCAATAATGTCGGCGTCGCCCGATAAAAACACCCAGACGCCAAAGCAAGCAAAAGGTAGATGTCGCTATAAACAATTGAAAAGTTATAGATAAAGTTTGAAGGTATAGTCGAATCAAAGTAAATGTCTATTATTCCAAAGCAGCTTCTTTACAAGAAAGAAAGAGGATAATTGCAAGCTGTGCAAGACCTCTTAGCTCGAAGAAAAGACGGTTTTCTCTGCTCGAATGGAACTCACTAATTTTGGAGTAAACGAAAGCAGGCTGTCTAAGCAAATGGCCATTATAACCCATGATCTTATTAATGAGAAACGTGAAATTCCCGGCCGAAATGACACAATAAAGATGTTCTGTGTAAAAAAAAAGAGACCTAATAGACCGCAGTTAATACTACATTAGTTTGTCATCGATAAGCAGCTACTACGATGAATGCACAGGTGCTTTTATAGTAGTACAAGCATCAGTAGCTTGTATTTCAATTACCTTCCTCGAGCAAAAGTAATATGAACTTGTTGTGCTTAATCCAGTGCGTACTAAAGTTGTTTCTTTTGCACTGGGCAAGTAACTTGATGACTGAAACGTCCATATGGGAGCATCCAAATTTCCCTTGCATCCTTTCCGTAGGCAACAGGCGTTCATAGCAACGCGAAACACCAAAAAAATGCCGAAGAGGTTCAATATAATATTAAATAAATTAGACTTTTTATCTTGGAAATGCAGTTATCATGCACTAAACAACAGTCTACGTTTTTATAGAACTAGTGCCCTAAAGCTTCTATGAAAAATTTCGCGATAATCGATTGATTATATCAGTCTGATTTTGTATTGACATAGGGCTACTGCGGTATTGGCATAAAACGAAAAGTGAACCAAGCATAGATAGTGCTAAAGTTCAGATTATTCGTTTTTAGAAGGGATCTAGAACTTGAAACTTGCGACAAATTCAAGCGGTTTTTGTCTATTTTTTGGAGAAAATAAAACGAATGATACATTTCTGGCTATCATCGTATATCGTTTTGGACTCGACAAAATTCGTGTATTGCGCCCTCTTAAAGTTCGTGACCGTTTAAGAAATCCACTTACCCGCTCAACTGACGCACCTATGACCATATGGCTTTTCGTAATCCGCAATCGCTCAGTCCTGTCTCTCTCGTGTTCCGCCAGACACAGGAGCTCGAGAAACAGCTCGCGGTATTTAAAAAACTCATAACCTCTAAAAATAGCCTTTGTCCTTCATGCGACCTGTAATTAGCCCAAAAAATCTCGAAACATAAGGGAACAGATGAAATTTAATAAAGAACTACCATAGGGAGCAGAAGCAATCCATGCGCACCGCAGTACTCTTTAGGAGGCCACTTTTTTGTGTGGGAAAGTTTACGGCACCCTTGGGTATAGTCCGTGGTTCACCCATCCGCCTAGAACTCGTCTTTAGAGTGGGGCGCAATCCCCAGCGAGAATAAATTCCACGGGGGACAAAGGTGGCATGTTTCACACTCCAGCGATTTTTGTACGCGGTCCGTAACGCCAAAAGACCAATATAGCTATGGCGATATTACATGGCGACAGCATTAGCGGTACTAAGGGAAGCACGGAAAGGTCAACATGTTAATTAGAGCTTAAATGCATATTGTCTCGGCATCATTCTGCTCGAAGGATATATTCAGCAGAAGGAATTAGCTTCGATTGTTTAATGTAATAGTAATCACTACTACGAAAAAATGATGGACAAGAAAGGTAAGTGTGACTGCAAGGGTACGGTAAACTAAACAGTGTTCGTGGTCACGGAATATTGGATGGCTTTAATTGTTTGTGACTACAAAGACAAATTTCTCAATTGCATCGTACTTGTTTATTCTGAAAAAAAAGACGTTCTTTTCACAAGGGGTACAACAATTTCCATTCGGCAAAAGAACGTTTGCTAATTTTCACTGGTGAAATCCCTGAGCAGTCAAATATAACTGGACTTTTGAACTTAAAATTCTGGAATCCCGCTCCTACATGGCATAATAATAAGAAGAAAATAGTACTTATTGACTATTTAGCTCACCGCTCACACTGTTTAACGGCATTTTTAATCTATCATTCATAGTTTCGTGCAACGTTGGTTTAGCCAGTTACCACTACGTTTTTAGACATCAAAACTATGATCACAACTCGGATACCGATTCTTTGATTTGTAAATTAATAGGCATTGATGCCTCCGAAAATAGCAAACGATTTCTGACAATTTTTAAAGAAAATTAGCCATATCCATCCTATCCCGCACCTCTTATAATTAGGATTACAGTCCCATATACGTGTGCTCTATTTTTCAATTTCGATGAATTACGACAATATTTCTTCTTCTTCATCGTCTTTCAGACGGTGTCAGTTATCTATCTATTTACTGTACCTAGGCTCTATTTTCCTACGCGCTATTCGGTCCCCACACACACTCGCATAAATCAGCTGAAACAAAAACATTCTCTTGAACAAATTGATAGGCACATGCATTCTTGCGTACATTAACGCACGCACCCAACTATCTCGCCAATCTTTTCAATAGGAAATATCCCTGAGGCTAGGTTGTGCCGTCCCATGTGCGGGATATGAGCAAGAAGCTGGTCACGGCATGAGTAGGGCAAGCCGCTTACTCAAATGAAGTCTACGTGCTGGCGGAGACATCCGTTTTACCAGCAAAACTGACCCGTCACACTCAGACAAATGACCGTCCGCTGAGGGGTTTGGTTTGTCGTTTCCACAGACGATAGTTGCGGCCAAAAGAGACAGAATAAGGACAAAGAAAAAAAGACTTTTTTTTGTTGAGATGCCAACTTCGAGCGTTTGTACCACACCAGGCTACTGTTGCTAGTGCCGCTCCTGAAACAGCAGACTTTTACCGACGAGTGGCGGCTGACGCAGGACGGACAAAAAACGTCCACCGGCAAACGGGAAAGCACAAAGCGCATGGCAAAGTAGACGACGACGACGACGACGACGCACAAGCACGAATGAATGCACAGCGGCCGCAGACCTCTGGTTAAAGAATGCCAGTGTAAGTTGGGCTATGGTCAGGACCAAATGTAGCCTGCAGAGCATTTCCCCTGCCTGCGCGATTAAGGCCTTTTCTCGCTGCATAACACAACGAAATGTAGCGCACCGAGCCTTGCCGTACTTACCCATGGTGACAGCCGCGACAGCGACAGCAACAATGCTAGGTCAGAAGCGACCGTAAAAGTCGGCTCTGAAAAAGGTCAAAAAGAGGAACCGTTATGCATTTATCGTCAGTAGATTATAGTAGGGTAGACTGGCCAAGCCGAGCCTATCCAGGGTGACCCCTAGGCAAACAGGAAAGATCTTGAAAGAACACTGCCGTTGCGGAGGAAAGGTCTTCAGTTATCTATACGTTGGCAAAACTAGACATCAGTGACTTGTAAAGGATAAAAAGAGACTAACCTTTTAACAGTTTCCTTTGTGGAAATCTCTTTAGGGGCACGGCATACAATCAGCTAGCAAAACGAAGGCGAGAACAGAGAAAAAAGCAACGGAAGTAAAAATCAAGTGGCGTAACAGGCTTAGTAGAATAAGTAGGCCAAAAGAAAAGAGAACAAAGGCTAAATCAATTACTCATATAAAGACATCGCAATATTTGCACGACATAAGACAATGCTTTTGTCATAGAAATGCGTTGTAGTATCCGTCTATGTTGTATAATGGAAAAGCTGTCAGGTAGGACCAACGAATAACAATAGATTTTTTTCAGTGTTGTTAAGCTAGTCACGGTTAGACACCATTTTTTGTAAGGAGTCAATTATTGTACTACTTTTGTATGTCATAACGGTATATGCTGCCATCTGTTAGTGATTGAGACTTCCGCGATACGCGATTACGTGTTTAGAGGCATTCCGACCCATCAATAGTCCGTCCTAACAGCAGTAGATTACGACGCGCCTTTATAAAACGCGAAACGTAAGTTACACTCATAGACACGTGAAGGACAATGCGTAATAATAGCAATACGATTTATTCCATTTGATTATATGTTCTAATTGGTATCATATCTGGATAACGCGTGTTACATGTCTAACAGAATCGATAATTAATGACAAGCGTATAGCACTTTATGCCTCAACTGGTCCTAACAATCAATCAGCCAAAACACGATGACTGACAAACTGCCCCTGGTGCCAATATTTCAATACAATTTTTCTAGATAACGACTTTATTTAGCTTACACCAGGGCTGATGTCTGCTCAACAATCCTTCGATCGAAGCTAAGAATTTTCTTGGCTATTGATACGACAAGGCGACATATTAGATTGCGCTAATTTTATTTTCGAATGAGCTTCTCCCCAATTCTCGAACATAGATCGAGATCGTCCACCATGTTTGGTTTCCATTATACCATGCGTGAGCGACTCCAATTCGAAAATTTTGCTTTTGGTCACGAAAGCAACTCTTGACCAGCCACCGACGGTGTTTATGTCCTTCGATCATTATAGTGCTCTCATATATTTGCAATTTATAGCAAGTGCTATAATCTTCTTCAATACTTAACCGAGTTAGGATATGATTATACGCATATTGCCCCCCGCATAATACTTGCGGGCGACTGCGTCTAAACGATTGATAAGCTTTGTCGGAGGAAAAGTGTCGAATCACTATTAATTTTTTAGAAGATTTCTATATCAATTGCCCTTACGACCACTACGACTCGGCTAACATTTTTTACTTATTCCGTTCAGTCTGCGATGAAGATATATATATATACATGTGTGTATGTAGATAGATGTCTTCTTTGGTGTAAGGACAGTTGCAGAATTTAGAAAAGACGAATGCGAAACGCGACAAACGAGAAAACTATTAGCATAAAGATCTCGAAATTCGGCGCAGTCACCGAATGATTCATAACGTTTTGTCTGCCATACTGTCGTAACAAAAGGGGATGGGAAACGGGCGATGCAAAAAAAAGATACAAATTGAAAAAAGCTGCTTGAAATAATGATAGTACCTCACTAACAACCGAACATTATAGTAAAATATATGCCAAAAAAGATCAAAGTAATCGGAAGATGCCATCTTCATGCAAGACATTTTCATCTTCAGGTAGAAGATCTACCAAACATAGTAATTTTGTTTGTGGTAAGCATCGGCAAGCCGACAGAGACACATTGGCTACAGGGTATGTTTAACATACAAAAGGCAGTCACATCCAAAAATAGTCGCAAGCGTAACTGAATCCAGTACGGAGCAAGTTGCAGCCAAAAGTCTCAAAACAACATTCCCTAAAGAAAGAGTGCTGCAGTGCAGTGCTATCAAATTTATAATGTCCGGCCTTAGACAAGGGATTTGGCTACTGCTGCATTGATCTCTATAAATATGCGTCAGTTTTCAATTACCTCGCCGTCTAATGTATCCCTGGCGTAATCTGTGCCCAGTGCAATGCCGTAATGAGGTCGAACGGCTGTGATGAGTTACGACACGTTTACGATATTTAGGCTTCAAGCAACTGCCACCTATCTATAAAAGATATTGGTTTTATGAAAAAGAATTCGCAATGGTATATAAAATATTAAATAGGGTGCTTAAAGTAATCACAACTGCATGCAACAAGCTTCCGAATTCGTTCAAAGTAGTCTTGAAGCAAGCCTCTGTGATATATAAGGTTTAGAATAGTGTTGCTATCTGTCTCTTCAATCGCAGTCGTCAATTACCCTAACGGGTAAATCGAAATTTACCTGCGTGACTTCACAATATCTAGATTTAAGCAAACTTTTTGGGCTTAAAGGTAAATTGTAGCTGATGTGCAAGTATGCCGCCTGCATATACTGTACATCTACGCGCAAGGTGACTGCCTAAGACGTGCGCAATATGTACCTATGTGCTTGGGCTTATCTGTCACAAAAAGATAGATATCTTTTTGTAAGATTTATTTAATTTAATAGATAACAATAATAAATAATTTAATAGAAATATATATATAATTGAGCACGTCAATGTAAATTCTAGACACGGCTATATACTTGCGGCTAATAGAGTCGAAATAAGATAGCAAGGACGTCCCGTACTGGATTGCGATACTATGATAAGCAAAGCAACTAGCTTGTCTGAAACGCAGTGCAACCATTAATGATTAAATCTTTAGAATACTACACCACGAAAATATCTATTGATAACCGGAGGTTAATAACTAAGGGCATCCTTAAATCAAACACGACAGCAGCTGAGTTTCGTGCAAAAGATAGCGCATGAAATAATATCGGGTGTACGACTACGTTAAAAAAACGACACTCAATCAGTCGCGTTCTGCTAGTTTTTGAAGAGGCTAAAGCTCTTCTTCGTGTACAAAACAACATTATCACGACCTGTCAGGTAAACGCCGCCCCACTTTCGACGGTAACAGGCTTTTAGCAGGGCACGATGTGCTATCGTGGTTTCTCGAATAGACGACCCGCACAGACAAACTATCCTTATATGAAATACTTGTGTCCCCAGCAGGTCGGCAATGGTCTGTGCTAAAATCCCTATTTAAACAAGCACGATTAGTACTAGACCGATACTATACATCTAATGTATAGCCTGACATACAGAGAAACTGGGCAGGTAGCACTTGGACGCGAGGCTGACGGGCCACCAGCGTGTCCGAAAGACGCCTAGATCCTAAAATTTACGTCAAATATTCCACGTAATGCTAACATTTGCGGTAGGCGAAAAAGACGCCAGAACAGAATCAAGGTAAAATACGCATTGAGGTATTTCACGATATCTCTGCTATGCACTTAGATAATAAATAAGTTAGGTCGGTCTTGCAACGATTGCAAAGCTACACCTAAGTCGTACCGCACTTCTAACAAGCAAATTTAATTCGTTTGTTAGAAGTGCTATAAAGCTAAAAACGGAGAGAAATTCGTATAACGCATGTGGAAGACGTAGCAATATTGGGGGGTAGTTTGCCAACGTTTGAGGGTCATAATTTAAAGGTTAAGAAAGTGGAAGAAACTGTCCGCTAAGGTGGCATATGTTGGTTGAAGTCCAGCTACTTTTCGAACAAAGAACAACTCTAAAAAGAAAGATCGTTGGGCTTTTTTAAATGCTGGATCCGATCAAATTAGGTTTGAATTTGACAATTTTGTTTTCGAACATTGATTCTTACGCCTAAAGCTTGATTGAACTGGTCCATAACTAACCTGAATTCGCGCCCGTGGTATAATGCAAGTTACAAACTATCGGCTGTTATACTGCGCCAGATGCAACAATTACTCGAGCGTCTTGGCCGGCTATGGAGCCATTCTATCGTCTTTTAAAAAGCTGATATTTTGTACTCCAGGAAGACAAGTTAGTGATATAAGTGGAAAAGGAATCATATCGTTAAATGCGAATAGAGGAGAAATCAACAGTGTTCTCCAAGCCCTTCAAAACGAATATTATCCCACAAGTTGTATCTTTACGAGCTGGTACATTAGAATGAACAGAGATTTAAGATGCACGAGAAGATCATTCTTGGTGTTTGAAGTACAGAGCTTTTTGAAACGACGCCAGCTAAACAAGAAAGCAGGACAAGGTCTAATCCGCAATGAGCACTTAAAATGACATGTCCGCTCATGACACGCCTACTTAATGCCTGCTTACGGCACACCAACAAACAAGATAGAGTCATACCCCCCTAAGCGACATATTGAAGATAAAAACAATCGACTTGATTAATTAGATTAGAGAGCAGGATCACAAAGAGAGGCAGCTGCTCTGTCTCATTGCATCATGCATTGGCTGACGAGGTTCTTGGAAGTTTGTTTATACATTTTAGCATCAGACGCTATTCACTGTGTTCGTAGATTTCGACTCGACGTTTGACGTGACTCCGAGAAATAAAATTTAAGTAAAGATTACAGATCAAAGCTATTCACACAATAGGAAAACTCACAGAGCGTAGATGCTGGAATGACCAATTTAACAATCCAATCAACTGACGTTACTCAAGGTGAGAACCTGGGCCCTCTGCTGCCATTCCGTGTTCCGTATACGGCGAAGACGTAAAAACATTGCTGAATGCCGATCGTTTTTTAGTGTCCTGAAATAATCGACCTTGTGTCAGGCGGGCTTTCACTAGGCTGTTTTGCTACGTGCATGTAGCTGGATTGTTGATTAACATGGATAACATAGATCACATGAAGTTTCACGGTAGACGCCACTATCCTGTTCCGTGAATAGCTTCAAGTACCTGAGAGTGATTTTGCCCCCGAGCATTTGTGAGCGGTGGTTGCACACATGCGCTCTCGAGACTTTCCTGCGCATGCTGCTAGTCTTGTCGGAAATAAAGGTGGCCCCAAATGCTTTCGATAGAACCGAAGTTTCTGAAGTGCGCCATGAGCCTGCACCGTTTATCGCTTAACAGGTATGTCTACCTTCTAAATAACATACCGTATTTTATGGGGGACGGGAAAGAAAGATTCAGGCTCTCCATTATTTTTGCCTACTCGGAATTCATCAACACATGCGAGGAAAGGATGGCGGAGATTGATCCTGACTGATTAATGAGGCCTGGAAAGGGTCGGACGAAACAAGCCTTTACATGTTTTGCCGTGTATCAATTTGATCACATCGTATGTGGGATAGCGAATTTTCATTTATTATAAAAGATCTGGCATAATATGCCTCAAATACTACGCGACATCAGCAGTACCATCGTTGGCCAGTCTCACCAGCCTTAAAATTAGACGTTCCTCATGAGACGCAATCGTATTTTCTTAACACGAATAAATTTAGACATAAGTATGAATAATGTTCATAGTTTGGTAGGGACCAATTGTTACTTGGACTAAACAGGAACTTTAACCTTCCCCTAGCATTTCTTAAGCGTTAAGCTGTGACCAAGGGTCACACTGCGCGTACCTGTGTTCTGTTAAAAGAGACCGTGTCTAATACAGCGAATCTAATGTTACGTACCGCTTTTGCGTGCTGCACGCGCAGCAAGTAAAGGTAATGGTCAACGAACGAGATGTCGAATGGCTATCGCAAGATTTAAATCTATATTTTGGGCTACTAAAGCGATAAAGACTGGGTTACATCGATTCTCAGCTTCTCTTTTCAGTATTAAGAACCTGAAGGGAGGTACATACTATAAGAACATCGTACATGCGTTTGTAGATAGTGTTTTTATTACGGACAATATTAAACTTAACTTTGTTAAGATAGAAAAACAATGTATTCGACGTCCCTTAGAGGCCAGAGGTATAATCTGCGTTAAGGCTAGGAAACTGTGGCTACCAGAACATGTATGATGCTATATAGCATGTGCTACTAGATAGATAATACGCGTTCCCCTGCTTGCTTTGTTACTAGCTCATCCTCGTGTTCTGTTTTTAATCGGAAGGGTCTTGCTGGTATATGGGTCTTGGCTGATGTAAGAATCTCCGGTCGTTTTCACTACTATGCTCAATCGTAGCACTAGAATGAACCTGTGATACTCGTTTAGGCGTATACCTTTGATATAAATGAAACGTTCTTATTATGTATATTAGGTACGGTGTGGAGTCGTGTAAATGCCAGTGTATATACCCTTCAGGTCACACCTATACCTTCTATTTATGAAAATGAACAGCTCTAGCAAACTACAATCAAGTGCCCTTCAAATGAGAGTACACACTACTTAGACCAAATACGTCGAGCTCGATTTCAAACAGGTGTTAGCGATGTGTAATTCTGAAAATTAAGATAACTTGTAATATGCAGAAGTTATATGAACGCATATTGTAAAATTGTAGGTACATCTAAGCAGTAGATTTGGAAGTTTGCGCACATCTCGCAGTGTCTAGTCCTAGAAGCAGTGGCGTACGTATGCTAATCTCGACAATGTACCTGCGTAAGTCTGGTTTTAAAAAGTGCGCATTGAACTTCCTTGCGGTAAAAGAGTAGATAATTCAGCAGCTTTTTGAATCTGTACAAACGTAATATATTAAGTCGATGCAATTGATGTTTATTTTAATGCACGTATTAGATACATACTAAAAATAATTCACCATTTATTCATAGAATATAGAAAACACCTATTTGCCGTAGCTGATTTAGGCCGAGCACGTTCTGCGTCTTGGGGAGGAGAGAATCACAGTTGGGCCCAACAATTGTTATTTATAACTTAGTATTTCACTCATAAACCTTGCAGGCAGCAACACTCTGCCTGAAGAAATATAGAAATAAAATTCACAAAAAACCACACACAGAGAATACGTTTTTCTACCTATAGAAACATTAAGGAAATAAACAAAATGTCCTCACGCAATTACCGCTCGCCAAGATTTTTCAAATTTTTTTTATTTATCCTAGGAGAACGACAAAAGAAATAGGTCTACAAAGGTGAGCTATCCTCGGTGGTTCTACTTCTACAGCTTGCCTGTTGTGTTTTGCACTCCTTTTTACGGCCTAAATGCGGCTAGAGCAAAAGAAACAAGTGGAGTAGGGTTTTTTTGAGCCTGCATTTTTTCATCTACCTGCAACAGTCAATTCATAAAACAACTGTATTCGATATACAATAATAGCAGAATGACATTTCAGTAATTTATAGCAAATAACACAATTACTTGAATGTTACTGGTCTCACAGATTGTCTCGTAAATATAGTGAGGGTACTAAAATACGTGGTACAGATCGAATTTAATACATTTGCCTTCTCAGATAAGATTTGGCTAATTTTTTTTGCTACTTTTATTTGCTGCTTTTTTGCTATTTTTTTTTTGAAAATCGATTTACTACATCTATCCATGATGTCTAGATTTTCAAAAGCCTTGCCAAGATACGACGCCGAGTTACCATACATGTTATATGTACATTTTGCAACGCGTTTAATTATTGCAAAAAAAAAATGCCACTGAAAGATACCGAGCAGAGTAACGGAGAATACATATACACGAACTTTCAAAAACTAAAGAATACAGTCTTGAATCGAGCCCATAAATCCAATATACAACTTTGTCTTGTGAGCCCCCCTCACATGGTTGTCATGGCGTTGAAACGCGCATTAGTATCGCTATCGCTGTTCGGTATTCTGCTTACTTTTAACATATTCAGAAATTGTAATTGTTAATTAAATAGACGAGCGAAAACACTGTGCGATAAATATTCGACAAACTTGCAGAACACGAATCACTCATAGCTATTTACGGTCCATGAATAGTTGATCAGAAAAAAAAAAAAATACACAAATGTGAAAAGGATTAGTCTAACTAAAACGTAGAAACCAACACTAAAAGGGAGGTTTTAAGACGAACACAATATGTTCATTTACACTCAGTCATCAGGCAGCGTTTGGCGGAATTTTTAAAAATAGCTGGCAAACCTGTGAGACTATCTCTTATCGATTCCCTGTGCGTCTGCTCTATGCCAGTATTAAAAACATTTCGTCCGTCCTGCGGGGTAATATGCAAGTAGAAAGCATGCTTTAACTCATTATGGCAAAAGTCGAAAGTTGGTACCATAAAAACGTAGAAAGGCCTGACTGTGTCAAGCATTATCAACCGTATTAGGATTAGGGTGAAAAAAAAATTAACACTGAAGGCAAATCATGTTGCCAAAATTTTGGTGGGTATCAAATGAAGAGGGTAATAGCGGGAGAAAATGGGTGTGGGCCTTTACCGATTTCGAAATACGAACATCTGGAACAATATAAAAACTCTTTTAGATGATCGATACGCTCTAAGATAAACAACACTATCATTTAAACCCTGCGCATCATTTCGCAGCATCGTAAACAAAACAAATATGAATATTTTTTTATTGATTTTAGAGTCACAATACTTTTGAGTATGCACTCATGCCATCGCCAGTTCGGGACATACCTACCCAGAACTTAAAAAATTAAAACAAGAAGCTGTTTATATCTCACATACATGTTATATTCTATCCATGTACGTACATGCGTTCTCCATAATGGTAGCTCTTTTGTACTCTTCTAATTCTGCTTTTCTTTTATTCACCTACAGTAGCCTGTTAAGTAATTCAGTCGACAGAGATAACGATATAACACAAGCCTTTTTCTGTAGGAACTTCGATTCTGTATTTTGATCCTATTTACCATCTACCTGCTAGATCGGTCAGAAAGTAACTTCAGCGTACGCATATCATTGCTTGTATGAGTCCCGTACAAAGCTCAACCTGGGCAACCGTAGGATTCGAGAGAATTTAAGACGCGTGCTTTACTCTGAACTTTCACAGTACAAATGCATAGTGCGATTGAACGTAGCCTATAAACTGAAAAAAAATTGAAGGAACGAGCGAGCGACCGACCGAGCAAAGTGAGCTTGCCGTGAGTTTACGAAACTTTGACGACCTATAAAATTCTGACAGATCTTCAACTGAAACTCCCGGACTGTAAAACAGAAATGCCGCGCTATCGGATCCACGCTGTACGGCGTGGAGAACAGACCATCTAAAGCGAAAATACGAAAATGGGTCCATTGATGGATTGCTTTCATCAATGTCTCCGAGATTAAGCCAGAGACTCATCTGATGCTACGATATCGGCCTTTTCTAACAGATAGCATCGCATGAAGTTAACAGAGAAAATAAAATTACCTTATGATGGATCGATTATTATCTAAGTATGTATAGATAATAAAAAAAGAATATCTTTTGACATCTGGGGATAAAATAAGATGACGACAGCGCTTAGATTCGCATAAACGCAACAAGATACCTTGATATACCAATTTATTTTGATACAGTTGCATGTATCTGACACTGATTTGTTCATTATCTGAGTTTTACCAGCAATTACCCACATAGTTTCAGTCACACTTTGTTTTAATTTAAATGTTCCTTAGGAGCTGACAACAGCGTCGTCAGAACGTCTAACTTGGATTAGAGCGGTAACTTAAGCCATTTAAATGTTTTCAATTTTACCAGTTGAAACTACCAGTTAAACCAGTGGTGATCTATCAGTTCAGCACGGTAGGTCTAGTGGTATCACTTACATCTTAATTATAATTCTGCTAGCTCAAAATGGCAAAACCGGACTGGCCTAAGTTAGACTTTCAGACGGTATTATTATACGGAAAGCTTAAATAATGTATGTTGCTATGGGCTTCTGTATGAGCTTTTTTTAGTAAAGAAGTTATACTGCATTAGAAACAGAATCCAACATTATTTTATGAAAACGCATCATTTGAAACCTTTTTCTCTAGTTTTATTTATCATTCATGAATACTATACATGTTACAGATATGTATAAGATATACCATGTCATAAATTCGTAGACCTCGTATTATTTGGGATTTTTTATAGGATAGTATGTAATCTAAAACGAAAGGTCTCTTTTAGAGCACCCAACTTCGGGGTTCCTTAATTTTTTGCGAGAATGATCTTATGAAAACAAGCCGCACATCTACCAACCCCCTGGAAACGTATAGGCTAAGTAGCAGCTCGCCATTGTGAGTCGCATTGCGCAATATATTGTGCAAGTGCGGAGTCTCCGAAGTAAAGATTTTCAATTAAACTAAAATGGTCTTCATTAGGTAATATTTGAACAGGTATAGGCAGGCATCTTCTAACCTGGAGGGAGCTGGCAAGATCCTGCGCCTGCTTGTGGAATTCTGGCGCATCGAATTGCCCCACAATAATGTGAATATTTGCCTTGGTATAACAGCTGTCAAGCGGCGGCACAGAAAACCTCCGAGCCTATATCAAATGAACAAATCGAGCAACGATGGGATAAATAAATACATTGGTTTTGTTATTAATGTAAAGTAATATCATTTTAGAAAATTATCATATGAAAATGGTGTAGTTTTCCGAATTCACTCAGCCACAGCTAAAACTAGCGCCAACTTCTATATTATGAATGACCTTTATTTTTTTCGAAAATCTTCGTTAACCATCAGCTTGAAAACATTTCGATAGTAACTTAACAGCAGGCTCTGGGTTTAAACAAGGACATAACGCGATTGGAATGATCAAAGCCAGAGTTGGTACACAGGTATGTTCTTGCTTTTGTTATATAGTGCCTAATGAGAAGAATTTTCTCTATCAACTAGTGCTCCTTGGATCTCAACAAACAAAAGAGGACACCTCGAGCCTGTGTGGTGTTAAGTCACATTAAAATTATAAACAAATTTAGGCCAAATGAAGAATTCACGGACGTACCTGATCTTCATCAAGCTGAAGCTTAATCCCAACTGAGGTGTTAACAATATTCTGTAATGAATATATACCCGATACACAGAATACAATACAGATTCCTTCTAGTGTCGTAAGCTTCCTCAAAGCATTGAGTATTAAGTGGGCTCCTGCGCTATGTCCTATAGTAGTCAATGTAAATGAACAAGAAAAAGGAGATGCTTCTTTTAGATAGGCGTGCGTCTAATAATGAACCTTGCACTCTGTCAGATTTGCTTTGCGATCAATTTATTTCTTCCTTTATATTGACGTAGCGATTCGGTCAGCTTGACTACTTTTGGTAGTCATTACCAAATTCAGATCAGCGAAATGTGTAGTACCCATAAACTTTGGAAATATAATAATATATGTACGCATGATTTTTCAGGCCTGCTGCTCGGACGATGCGTCGGTGATTTCTAACGCGGCAAGAAATGCGGGTATTCTTAGGGCAACAAGCGAAGTTTGGGTAAACTTTCAAGGCGCCAAATGACCACAGAAAGGACAAACCGCTATCCAGACCCTCATGAGGAACCCTTGAGAACAGCGCCCGAAGAACATTTTCAAGGTCGTGCATAGATTGTCCACATATTGCCATGTGTATTTTATTTGTATACTTTCAGACAGCAGCACTTCAATCAAATGATTTTTACTAAACTTAAAGGGCTAGAATATTTCGTTTTTTTTTGCTTGTCATGGCTGATATTTCAAATTCGTACCGTACTCATGTTTGCCTTTCACTAAGCAAGTGCCTTACCAGCAAGATATATCCGACTTGTGGGAAAGGTCTTTTGTACTTTTTGGATACCAGCTACCACGTCATCGATGCAGCACGCAAGGTCCTCTGCTTTACCGGCCAGTCGGTAACCCAGTGAAACCACGCTTATTCCATGGCTATGCAGTCCGTTAGCGATGAAATTATACATGTGCCGGTCGCCTTTTACATAGTTGTCAAATGTAAGCAAAAAATGTATCGGCAGTTAGTTATTTGTTAATTCAACCTAACTTAAGAAGCTGACCATCATAACTTGTTTGCCTAATACAAAAGCAAAATCAACGATGCCACAAAAGTTAACGCACGGGGATCAAGTAGAAGTCACACTGTTAGATAGTAGAATACAAAATTTTATTGGTAGAACACACATTCAAACTTTCTAGTACAAAGAAATAAGTGTTGTCAAGCATTGCTTCAGACGTTTGGTTCCCAACGTAAAACGAGGTGTGTCTAAGTAAGCCTAGTATATATAATATATAAGAAATAGGCTAGATGATATCCCAAGACTTACTGCTTCCTGTAACTTTTTTCGTTAGCGGGGTGGCCTAAACGGTTAAATCTGTAAAAGAGCAAACCGGAGATGGCTTGCACAAACCCCGCCAGTGACATATAGTACACGACTCGTAAGAATAAATAAAAAAAGTGAAGCCATTTTTGTAAGAACCTTTTTCAGACGAGTCAGCCGAACTAATAGCAAAGCTTTTCCTCATGTATATTTAATAAGTATTTTGATTCTTAGGGGCGAAGCTATTGCCGTCAGGCATTACTTCATCTAATGGACGCCCGCTTTTAGTACTAAGCGAAGTGTTCCAGATGGCCTCACATGTTTAAAACCCTGATGGGCAAAGCCGTAACCACTGCGCCATTACAGGGCCAATATAGTGTTTCGGAAAACATACAGACGTTTCAAAAACAGAGATATGGTTTTCTTTAACCTTAATGTTGTCCATTCGCTGCCAGAATATTGAAATAAATCACTGCTCTTCCACCTCGTTGACAACAAAAAGAAATTTGCGTCCACAATAGGCGCATGATATCAACAAACATAAGGCCCGTGGCGAAAAAATACGTCAACGATCCATACGAATACTGGCCCTATATAAGTCAAACACCGAAAAGACAAACTTCACTGGCCTGCTAACAAGTCATAGGCTGTTAACGTAAGCTATAGTGCGAGCTCATTTCGAAAATTACAAAAGATCAATTTCTTCTAATTGTTTTGTATGTAAAACCGCAAATACACCATAATTTCAAAGTAAGAGGATCTATGAGTGGTTCATACGGCTCTCTAGTGGACAAAAAGTCCCTGCTCAAAAGTCGCGGGGCTTCGTAATGTACTGCGCTAAATGAAAGAACTATTTTTCGTAAGCTTAATTCATATTACAAATTATCGGATTTTCGTGTGTCATATATAGCCAAAGAAAGCGATACCAATTTACTTATAGGATAATTTGATATTATAGAAAAGATATCTCCCATATGTCAGTTAGGAGCGAGATCAAGAAACGTACCATTTTGTCGGCATATGAGCAAAGGACGGACACAGCCTTATTTTCTTCTATTTTAGAACATTTTCCAGCCGATTTCGCCCATATTCCTCGCTATCAGAGCTGTGTTAGCACCCGTATAGTGGACTCAAACGCTATGGTGAAATTCGAACACCTTCGCTGCCTAGTTGTTTGTGCGGTTATTAAAAAAATTTACTATCCGCTAAAGGAGTACAAGCTTTGACTAAGGAAAGCTCTGTGAATTTGATGTTATTACGTAGTGCAATGTCCTGAAATGGCCAATAGCTCAATACGACCACAGCCGCTTTAGTTCGCATATTGAATACGAAATAATATCTAGTCTATGCGAATGTATGTGACCATTAATGTAATAAAAAAAAATCCCAGTTAAGCGAACCTCTTATTACGCGGACAGCTTTGTAGTAGTAACAGTAGACTCCACGTATGATTATAGTCCACTTAACTACGTAAACTTAACAGTTAAAACTTAACAGCTATATAACTAACACCTTCTATGAAGTAACAGCAAAAAAACATTTTGCATGATAAATATATTAATATGTGGGTTTCGTTTGCAAAAAGTTTGTCCTCGGAAACCTAGGCGCAAAAGTTTGGTACGCCGCCTAAATTATAGCTTCGCGGCGGCCGAGGTGCGCCTCGCTGATTGATACGCACGTTTATCAACAGGGTTTTACTGTGTATATTCCTGGAATCGATACTTTTAACATACGAGGACTTCGGCGTGCCAGTTTTAATTTATAGGTGGACGAGAAAATCCATAGTATGTAAGTCTTTTATGCCGAATCACATTGGGAACCCAATCAGTTCCTCAATCGGTCAAAGGACGCAATTATTTGATGAACTGCCGAAAATGCTCGAGTATATACGGTAGTAAAAGAAAAAAACGTATAAGACATAAATGCTTTCCTATATTATCAGAGCTTTTAAAAAGGTATCGAATAAATATTGTATACATAATTTAAGAAAAAAAAAAAAAAGCTTTTTTCAAAGAGTAAGCAACAGTACTCTCGAATTGAGTAACTTTGTCTGTGACAGAAGAAGAATAGAAATTGTAGAATGGTCTTTCTGGTCAAACGTGACCGCGCCATATGCAGCTTTTAAACCAAACAATTAATTAAATCAAATAGAAATGTAATTAAATATCTTATAGAGATTACTGAACTAGAACTGAGGGCTGAACAATGATTTTGGCTAACTGTCCACTGTGCCGTTACTGCAGTATTTATCCGAGAGAAAATATTCTATCACTCCTATACGAGTCCATTGCATTCCCCGAGAATGTAATATAATTACTAATTTTTTTTTACCACTTTAATATGAGGTAGTTGTATAGCAAAGTTCACATACAAATCTCTAGGTAGTTACTATCAAATGCAACCTTTGTTCTTTTTTGAAATAATTCTTTCGGCAAAACAGGTCTGACTTAAACAATAGGAAACATCCTACCTTCGATCCAATACCCTCCGTGAACAAACACAAGTATTGCATTTCGGTCTTCATGGGGTTGTATGCCCCGCATTATATTCAACCCCTGCCTTTCGTCTTCGCTGTAGGAGACGTACTCCACTGAGTATGAACGGTTGGCCTGCTTACACTGAACATCGCACAAATGCAGATATCTGCCAGCATATGTGAGCCGAGTCAGGACTATGTTAGAAGTATGGCAATAACCTAGAAAACACTAGAATCCTCAAAATTTTATTCAGTATACCGATCGCTACTTTTCTTAATTGATATTGAGCGTAATTAGCGCTCTCTTTCTCTTGGCGTAAGGAAAAGTACGGTATTTTCCGTCTTGTAAATCGTTGAAGACTAAATTTATAATACGCTCTACCAAATATGCTGAGATAAATGTCCTAGCAGATTATTAGCTTTTGCGGTCTCGGCAAGAACAATTGTAGACGGACCTAGTATTATTGAAGGCATATTCTAATGGAGGTCAATCAATAAGAGCATTTGAAAACTTATTATGGAAGGAAATTGAGCCTACCTTTGGATTCTGCTATCACCCTTTAAATTGAATCCCCACCTCGAAGGCATACATCGCTCCTCGGCGCTAGCATCAAACCCTGTCGAACTCATCTAAAATTAAACCGTTTATAGCATGTTACGTTGACATAATATTTAATGGTGAATCGGATGAACACGCACGGATAGGATCTGAGAAAGCCTTTCATTAAGAACGATTCGAGTCGTTACCGATGTATGCGAACCAGCAATAAGTTCTCCAAATGAAAGCGCTCTCCGTATCATTTTTACGCAAGGCAACTGCGATAAATGTTGAAAAAAGCTCGTGAGGTAAGAGGTTATGGGTGAGTTAGGTATAGCTTTCAGATAAGCTAACGTAAGCACACGAAGTGACCTGGTAATATCTATTATGTGTCAAGGTACTCTGCTTAGACTTCGTCCGAACGAAGTAACCAAACTGAACATAGTGGGCTTATATTATACCTAATTTTAGATATTTTTAGTTGTGTGCCGTTCGATGATGGCAACCCTTCGAATCTTGCCAGATCTGCGTTTGGGAAAATCAAAACAAACATACTGAGTTTTACGGCCGCTGTTTCTTGGTACGGCATTTTGCCGATGGCCGATCGCTTTGAGCACGAAGCGAAATATGTTTGCTCCTAGTTTCAAGCCTGATTTGCCTTCTTGGTTGTTACTTTAGTAGGCAAGCACTTTGAACTATAACAATTCGCTTATTGTTATCCGTTGCATACAGACATGTGTATTCCGAAGGCGCCATCAGAGGGTACATGATTTGTAACTAAGCGATAAAGTTAGGAACGTTATTCGTTCTTGATGTACCTAGCCGCAGATGCGGACCCGCCTTGTCCCAAGACAGCAGACAGACCATATGTGGTCGTTAACGAGTCGGAGCGATTCTGCAAATCTCATGGCCTTAACTAGAACACGGGCGTATTGTGTGTGAGCTATTCTAATCATAGTGAATCGCAAATGATTTCAACTCGTGCAAAGCTCCTATTCTCATTTAAGGACAAAAAGTGATTTCATAACAAGTGGGACGGAACATCAGTTGGTCCGAAGAGCGAACGACCTGGTTAAGTTTCAATCAATCTACAAACAGACGTTTGTACACAAGTTCAATTAGGGCATATTAGTAATTCTCGCCCATTACACTTTTCAGAAAAAAAAACAAAAGCTTCTTTTTCTGATCCTCTCCACGCAAGTATTTCACACACATACATATTTACATTCTAATTATAGTTACTATTAATAGTACGCGGTTGAAAGGCTTTTTTTTTTCTATCGCTTGCGTTACTTTGAAGAACATTGCTCAACATATAAGCCGTGTAGTATGAAATATAACAAGCATTAATATTGTCATATTTCAAGATGGCGTCATTTTATAACAATGTGGCATTTCGCTATCCTTTTTTTTCGCTTTGTCCTCCTTGTGAAGCCTGAGGCCGTTCATTTGGATGTCATCACTTAAATGTCGAGCACCCAGGTCGTAGTGAGCTATGGCAAGTTTGAAGACTCGAGCGGCTTACGAATATCAGCTTCATCTAGGAACTGCAGAGCCAGAAACAGCCGTGTAAACTTTGTATTAGGTGAAAATTTTACCTTAAGACTAAGAACACAGTGGTAAGGGTCGAATTGGAAAATGTCGCTTCTGTGAAGATGACTAACCAAGTGTTGACAGCTGTGGTGCTGGAACCGAGGCTTGGTATGTCTAAAAATACCATACTTGTTCAGCCTGGTCAAACTGAGAAGGTAAAGAATTCCTCCTTCTATTGATAAACCGGTGGTGGATGATTTGAGCGAACATCAAAAAGATATACGTAGAGATGCCTGCTTCTCGTTGCTGTTGCATAGCAACGATCCTTTCTTTACTGAGTGTATGATTATAACAAAAAAAAGAAAACGTATCGCTGACGATAATCATCAATGGTCAGGTTGAGGTAAGTGGATGCAAACCGGCAGGACATGATCAAATGTAGCTCATGGCACCTATTTGATGGTCTAATACAGGTGTTATCTACAACAGCTTCACGTGTTTTGATTTTCCGACTCCAGCTGGAAGAGATGGTAAAAAATCTAGCCAGAACCAGTAAACAGAGGCAAATCGACTCCCTTTTGTAAAACAACGTTCGATTTTATATAGTAAAGATTACGGTGGCGAAATTGTAGGAATTACAGATGGAAGCCCTTTGCCGTCCTCCAGATATTCGACAGATACTGCGTCCATAGATAATGCTTGTTTCGAAATCTTGACAACTTCCTAACCTGGAAAGTTAATCAAATTTCAATATGATGTCGGAATAGTTTTTCGAGGCTTCCTAGTGTCTCGTACCTCAGACCTGCTATTTAAATCACAGAAAATCGTCGGTAATAATAATAACAATGTACGATTCAGCTGAGACTGAAGGCGCTGAGAAAAATTCGAAAAGTTAAGAATTCGCCTCGCTGAGTTTGGTATCACTGTATTTGTCGGAAAAGCGAATACGAGAGTGTCAAAGTAAAGCTAGCTTTCTAGCAATGCCTCACCTACCTGCCAATGAAGCATGCTAGTGAGACTGACGCGATGCTAAATATTCCTTCACACCGTCTGGCTTATCTCACGCTGATGTAACAGCGCGGCGAAAAGGCAACCTATTTCCAGCAACTATCCGACGGTTTTCTACAAAAAGCTATACCTTTCCTTGCGTAGGAAACCTTGCAGCGTAATGGTTTCTAGTTTGTGCAATATTGGATTAGTGTGATTTTTTCTTCTGGGTGGTACAGATGAAGAGCACCTCGGATCCGTGGTATTATGACCGTTTGTTGGACAGAGTCGACGCAAGGAAACGCCGCGCCTGCCAGCGATAGGCAAGGCCCAAAAGAGACCGTATGTTTACTTGATTGTGGCAGGATCACACTCTAACGTCTTGTCACTGGTAGGACTGTACAAACTGAAGTCACTGAAAAGCAACATTAAATCGACACCGGAAGATTGATTTGTCGACGCGACAGCTTACAGAACCGACCGCGCTTATTTTTCAAACTAGTTTTACTGGTGACATAGCTCAGCTTACAAACATTGTTCAAATTATGTGTACTATCGTACATGTCCGTGATTATTCGATGCTTGCGGTGAAGACACCAAAGAGCAGATCTAGTGATATTTACATTACACTGACAAACATCATGTCACCAAGCTTCACTAGGATCACTTTGCTAGAATTTCTTATTATTAGAAGAAATGTAAAGAGTCCTCTGGAGTGCTGACGGCAGAAAATGGAACATTGACCGCGAAGTTTATGATCCAATCGAATAGTAGAACGATACCTGTGCATGTATCATACTTGAGAGAATAGAAGCTTACGGTGATTTTATCTAATATGAGCAGCTGAGATGACTGTATGAGAAAAACGTTTCATATAGATTTACTGTATTGGACGATGTGTATATCGATGCACACGTCGGTGCGTGCATCTTCGATGGATAGTACAAAATGCATGGATAAATTTCGAGGATAGAACACATCCGCAGTATTCAACCACATGTCTAACTTATCTTTCCACTGAAGAAATTAAACGCCGACTGCACAAGGAGGCGCCTTCGTATCTGTCATCCCTTTCAACCAGATCATCTGATAAGCTGGGCCTTGAAGGGCCAATCTTCAACGATTTTTTACCTGCGGATTCGAGCTCAAGCTGCAACAATGGCACGCAACTACTCGTCCATGCCGAAAACACCTTCAATCTTCTTCCTTCTCGGAATAAAACTCACAGAAGATTTAGCGTTGAAGAACATATAGCATTATCGAATTACGGATAAAACACATCTGACCTGATGATACTTGTTGCATGAAAGACCACTTTTCGTATTAGAAGTTGTTGTACTTACATCGGCGATTATCAATAGGAGAGGTCTCGGCGTGGTTCGCGATGGGGAACGTAAGCTGGCGACGGGGTTTTCGTCTCAACGACTTGCGAGGCAATCAGTTCCTTTTGTTATCGTCTAGAAGCTTATCTCCGGACTTTTATGACATTAATAGCACCATCGTAGCAAAAACACTATTGCCCTCTACCGAGACAGCTCATTCGATACACCCGTTTAGAAAAACCGAAAGTACGTTAGTGCGAGTGATTACTACGAAGTAAATAATTACGGTTATAGCCATTGACTGCAGTAGGAGGTCTGTCCGAAATATGCTTTTGCAGGCTCCACCTGACGCGAGTGGCGCCCAGCTTTTTCTCGATATATTTTGCATGAAAAAGTTAACTGCACCTATTGATAATGAATGACGTAATAATAGTGTAAAATTGCAAAGGTGCGAGTCACCTATGTTTTATTGCATTCAGTGAAAGCGATATGTAATCAGGTAGGACAAAATCAGGATAACAGACTGATTATGGGAAAAAATTTTTATCATATCCTCTGTTTCTTCGTTGGATTTTAACAGCCTTCGACACGCGTGACCTTTATGTATCACCAAATAGCGGGTCCTACCCGATCCCTTGTTGATAGCCTCATAATAATATTTCAAATATTTAATAGCAGTCTTTTTCGTTATATAGTTTTACTATAAGGACTGGAGTTCAAGGTACATTTGTGTTCTTTCCAAGGTTGTGTAGAAGCGCACAACGTTTGTTCTATCGGAAAATCTCCCTGTTAAAAACATCTTCTAAGCCATGAACGTCGTCTGCAAAGTCAGTTTTTTTTAAAAATGCTGCTTCTTTAATAAACACTGCTCGGTATGATACGCAGATGAAGCCGCCCATATGTCAGCGGCGTGTTTGCAGTTTATGGAAACACTGTGAGGTAATCAATCGATTGGCAATATCTGATGCGAGATAGCCATTGTTTATGATAAGTCACACGAATTAAACACTATTCATACGGTAATGAGTAGCCGCGCCGCGTGAGCAGTGAAATATGGGAACGAAAATACAGTTTTTTTTACGTCAGACGCTCTGGGTTTTATTTTCAGGTTGATTTCACCAAGACTATTTTGCTTCACATACCAACAAGTGTGCCGTTGAAATTAATTTATCGACTCGTTTGGTACTGAGTACAGGCTATGTTAAACACTCGTCAGAGAATCGATTATCCGGGTGGTCTCGAACAATCATATCCCATGGATTTTTAACTGGGACTGACATTGGTCGGATAATGATCATCGACAGATATTTACATTGCAAAAGGTACCATCGAGCGCGAATCAGAGAAATGAAATATGTCTAACTATATTACACTTTGTTCTATCTATTTGGTCGCTGACGTTTTCTAGAGACGCCTGATTTGGTTGAGTGGACATATTTATTTGAATTTCTTTAGCTAAATAAGCAGTGTTTTCCTTTACCAGGAATTAATTCGGAACGGATGCTGTTTGAGAACGAGTTTCAACGCTCTTTCGGTAATGTTTAGTTGAACGAGGAGTCGGAGATAAACTTGCTTGACATTTATAGGTCTATCAGGTACTAGCCTTCGACTGATTGCTAGTGCCGCCTAGAGTTGTCGGTACTGAAGCAGGTTTTATAGACGCTCCGTCTGATAACTGGCTGCCCTATGCATATTAAGACCATAAATAACAAGTCTTCAAGTTATGCCAGTGTCTCGTGTTGAACAATTTCTTAGGGTGTTTTTGGAGACTAATGATAGGCCATTTGTTGACAACGGACTCCGAAAGGGTACGGCATATAGAAGGTGCGACTTTATCGACTCGAAGAAAAACATTTCTTTTACTGCTGGTCCTATAACATGCGAAAAAAAATACATTCCCATGTTTTTATTAGATGTTTACATCGTCCAAATAACTTTATAGGGGGAACCGGTTTGTGACATGCATTCGAAAATAGCGTTGTTACTTCTACTTGCTAAAAGTTGTGACTTATTGTATTGAGCGGACACTATCGATTCGAGGTACAGGAATATGGTCAATACAAGAATATGTACTTTACTCGTAATATAAAAATATAGTCGACATCATTACGTCGTATTTGACTCTGCTCAATGTAAACGCAAACGTGAACGTCGGGCACAGTTTCTCGAACACACATGAGCGCTAATAAGATGGCTGATTTAATCCGATAGATTTTATTTAAAGCGGGCTTATTCTACTCAGTTGTATAGAGTGATCAAATCTCGAGCGTATGTAGCTTCTGATTAAATTGCTTTGTTTATATACGAAGCCTTCCACTTTCTGATTGGACTCGTAACACAGTAAAGTAAGTGGAAGAAAATTCGCAGTAAGTAAGTTCGGCCGACAGCCCATACTGGAAACAGTACAGTTTATTAGGGCTCGAACTGAAAAACTACTAAAAAATTGCTATTTCGGCAATAGACGTGTGCTACAGAGACTAGGAACGCGTGGCAAGGAAACGCCGCATCGACCCTTGACGACATCAGATGGCAGAAGAATAATTGAATCTTATCGTCGAATGCATCAAAAACGAGATGAGCTATTCCGGACTGCCTGACGTTGATGCGGTAGGACTATGTCCTGCCAGCGTCATTTTAATCCGGCCGTAAGACGTAAGTCTTATTTTGAAAGGCATATATCGCTAAAGTGACAGCACCTAGTGCCGAAACAAATCCAGTCGCGCGAGAATGACCCATGTGTCCCGTAACGGTGAGACCAGCTGCGTATGGGCTCCCTAACGAAGCTGGGATGCGTGTTCAAGAGCTTCTGACGAGCATCCTCCAGGGAATGCCGCGGTGCCTAAACACACAACGTTAAACGCATATTCATGTTCCTAGTTATTATAATACTATAGGAAGATGTTCGGCGCGACTTGCACTCCTAGGCTACCGTCTTTTACCAGAGTTAAGCTTTCGTGTTCTTTTTTTTCTCGTTTGATTAGTACTTTTTGGCGGTTTTGTCCTGGTTTGCACAACACTCGGCCCAACCGAAGCGCCCAGCAAAAGAATAATACCTGGGTCAAATCAAGTCTCCCCGTCAAATGACCATGTCGTATCCATTTGTTGTACGAGCACTGCGCGTATCTACATATCGGCCTCATAGACTAGCCTGCTGCGTGCCCTATACACACTGCACGTTGGTAAGTGACTAAGTAGGGCATCGAGCATCGGCAAAACTTTTCAACGAACTGTTGCAGCTACGAAGAGTCTGCGACATTGAAAGTATAATGCGACGCGCACTAGCGCCATATTCAAATAAGCCCGCCTCGCTCGAGTCCCCCCATCGCCGTTCCGCTGCTGAATAAACACGATGTATTTTAGTACTGGTTGGAGTATTTCTCTCGGTACAGTTGTTATCGTTTGCTCAGATCGTTGTGTTGCCTGAGGCCGTTTTGCCTCACGTATGTGTTTGCGAATTTATATGCATAAATAGTCTATAATCCAAAGGTGTCTCGACAACAAAAACGCTGTGCTCGACTGCCCACGGCTATTTAAAGGCAGCCCTAAGAGTGCGTTGTATGTAGAATTGTCATAATCCGCTGTACAGCCAGTTGACACATTGTGTACGTGGCGAATCTATGGGTTAGTGGACGTGTCCGTCTGAGACTAAACGGTATTCGTTTCTTGATTTCCATCGAGCATGAAATAATAAATTCTATGAGCTGTCATTAAGTGTCAACATTCATAGATCAGTTATTAAAAATCAAACAACGCAACAGTTAGGGCCTATTGTCGACCAGTAAGATTCTGGCTTTTATTACACAGTATCGCATTATCGAAGCAAAAAACTTACGAACGGTTTCTTTGGGATCGGCAGTTGGCAATTATTCTATATATAGATTATTGTATAGAATTCTATTTAGACTAGATGTTTGTTAAAAAACTTCCTATTCTTTGATATCAACAGATAATTTAAGAATGATTGATTCGTGGACAGCTGATTGAAGTGCACATATCTATAGTCACACGTACTTATGCAAACCAGCTGAATTGTCGTGGCTGATTCTTTTCGTAGACGTTCGGCGCCTTCCGTAAAGAAAGTGTGCAATCCGCAAAACCCAATTAAGTTAGCACCTAAAAGCGACTTTAAGGGTAGATCTATCGGGTACGCCGCTAGCGATATAGATGGCGCTTCCAACAACAGACGGACCAGAAGTTGAATGTCCAGCAGAACAATCATTGTCCACAGGAGGGCAAAATGCCTGCATGAGATTACAGAGATCCAGGGACCAATGCGATTATTGCCATCAACGATCAAACGTGTAAGTTATATATACTTGAAGCTCAAATCAGGCTGAGATTAAATATTGCCTAAAAAAAAATGTTCCTCCTACTGATCTTTTGGTCTCGTTTGGTATCGCACCTGTACAACCTATTGATGGTCCTTTGAAAGATAATGCAGTGTAGAAAAATCTGTTTAGCCTCGCGGAGTTCTTCTTCAATGCTGCCACAGTTACCAGCTGGTTCTGATTCGTTTGCGCCCTTTACGAATGTCGCTTTAAGACTTTGATTGAGTGCTAGCAAACGTCCACGTGCTGCCCAGCCAAAACATGTCCAATATCTTATTGGGAAAACAAATAGTTCCTTTTTTTTCCAAGTCAAAACGCAAATTTGAATGTGATATTAGTTATACCGTGTTTTTATTCACAGTCATCATCGATTTATCGCTTTAGGTTGCCTTGGAGGATTCTAGGCAAAGGTCTGAATCAGAACTTCACATGTCAATTAGATTTTTGTGCCTATTTTACAGGTACTGAGTTCATCAATGTGTCTACTCAAATATTCGACTCTCAAAAGTACATTCCCTGATGACGCGCTCACGTAAAATATGTATTAGCCAATTAACGCTATCTATATTAACGATGTATCATTGGAGAAAATAAGCGACAAATGTTCTATACATGTGACATATAAACGACAACCTACGACAGAAGAACGAAGTTCCTTAAAATGACCCATCGCGTAAAACTGATGATGTTTGCGCGGGCGCGCAGCACGCCTAAGACGCGATACGACGTTGAATTTTGCACTTCGTCCTCTGTGACAGGAACTAAGTCGCGCTTATGATGAGTATGTAGCTAAAATCTCCATAGTTGTTAGCAACGAGACATGTGTATACTATATCCATCACTTTGAACCGAAGGTGTAAACTACTTCTATAAAATGTCATATTCTATGATGGTTAGTCTTTACGAAACAAGACTGATCAAATCGCGAGTCAGTATACTAATGTTTCCTATTCGGGAAAAGCGGCCGTAAACCCTACCTAGATGTTTAAGACGGTTTTTTTTCTTGCTGGTATCATCTTCTTTGTTTCCAGCTTCTAACGCTTCCATTGGATTATGCTCTTGGAACGATTCAGCAGACTTCAACCGTTGACTCATAAAGTAAACTCTTCGATTGTCGCTATTAGCAGCAGCGCCATATTTCTGGTCGTAATCAAAATCCTTGGACTCATCTTGATTGTATTTATTCGAATCATGGCTGCCCGGTTCATAATTAACGTGTTCGCTGTTTTCTGCACGATCGTTTGCCCCTTATTTTTCATTATTGTGTTGATGAGAGCCCGCAGTACGTGAAAGGATAGCATTAGTCATATGAATTAACTCTTAATTTCGCCTGAAATGCGCACCCTCAGGTTGTCGCTTACCGGGAAATCCTGCAGCTTCTCTCGCTTTAGGTTCGGCTCCGTCGGTAATGTGCACTCTGCGGTTTTCCAGCAATTCTGTATATTCATCAATTGGGTCGGTGTCAACACTGGAAAGATCTTTAAAAAATTCATTACTTTTTTCCTTACTCTTACGTTTTGTTTGGACAAAGTCATCACTTGGCTCTTTCTAAGCTCCAGGTTGTCCTTGCTCGACATTGCTATCTCCGCTTTCAAGTTTCTGAACAAGCTTACCATCGGCAATGTCTCTGGAGCCATAAAAGCTTTTGCCCGCAGCAATGTTTTCAAGGAAGTTTTCTCTGATCTCGACGGTATCATCATGGCTTAGAGAGTTCGTCACAGATCCAGTTTTACCTTTTTGTTTTCCTGCTCCTAGCAAAGGTCCTTTACTTGCTGAAGCACCGCCGCCTGAGAATTTCCCATGTCTATTATGACCACCTCCTCTCAGGCCATCCCCACTTCCAAAGCGACTCGCACCAAAACCTCCTCCAAGTGAGTCTAAACCTTTTTCTCCCATCCCTGCACCTCCTCTAACACCATCTTCGCCGAAACCAACTGCCAACATCCGGTGGGCCACTTCTACTAGCGGTTATATTATTTCGTTTTGTCGGCGTCGCTTCCGTCGTGGTAACATATCGCGGAGCCGGCGGCGGAAGGAACAAATCAACATCGGAATAGAAGAACATCATCGAACACGATGAAAGCAATGTAAAAAGTAGGAACAGACGGAACACAATATTGCGTATACGTCTTTTGATGGGCTGACGTCGGCGATCGCTTGACAGGGCATTGATCCGGTCGTCCAGCTGCACTGTTGGGTAACCTTGTAAGAGAAGTATAAGACAGCACGCTATGTGCGCCGCATCATTGAATCCGTCAAGGGACAGTACTCGAATCGGGCCTATTAGGATATGCAACGGATAAAATAGGATCATCGTATGGTTACGGGATGAACGATGCAGAAAGGAATGTTAATCGCCACAGATCAGATAAGCAATTGAGCTATTTTTTACATAAAACCATCGGATCGGTATTGATGTCAATCATATATGTACATAGTTTGCGTCTAACTTTAGAGTGTACTTCTGTAGCAACGCATATAGGCAATGAAACAGGACGTTGTGTTACTTCATAGCATATGCTACGAGCAAGTTAATAATATATACCTGAGTAACTGAGCAGAAACAGGAAATATGTTGTTCTAATTAGCGCGTAGCCGAACACGATGGTCCAAAGCAATGTCCTGAACAGACGCGCCAGATAGCGTCTAAGATACGAGCAGCTATATGAAGCCACGCCGACTGAGAAAAACGTTAGATAGCTTACGCACGCCTTAACGAGTCCTGAGTCGTAGGCCACATTATTTTCACATCCAAATGTCGTGCAGTTCGTTTGTCTGGATTTGAATTTTCGTTGACGTGGAAAATTCATTTTAAAATAGTCTCGAACAAACTAAATCGAAAAGCAGCGTAAATTGTCACACATTTCATCATTGTTTCATTTTTCTCAAACGGTCAGCTCTGGCATTTTGCTGCTATATCGTTGAGTCGCACAGCTGTCACTCTATAGTGTGCACCCCGGCATAATCCAGCTTTGGCTTGGTCAGACTGCTATCTTCATAGAGATTTGCATATCTGCCGTAGTTACGCTAAAAGCCCATATCATATCAACAATGCTATTAAAAAAAATAAGTAAACAACGCTGGATATTTGCGTTCGTTTTGGCGCTTGCTATGTACACGTTATATAGCGACGCGGTCGGAATATATTTATCCTCACCGAAGTCGGATGCCAGGTCTGTGACACAAGCCCGTATACATCCCACGAATAGAATTCGATCCAACTTGTCAATGGGAGAAATTTGTTAGTGCCGTTGAATACACTTAGACAAACGGGTACTGAACAAAGTAAGTGTTATTAGGTGGTATTTACTTCATTGATTTTACTGTACTGATGACATAGCCAACTATTACATATATTTGCGAGGTAATCTACCTGTCGGATAGCTTCTTATTCACATCGTTTTCACTATCTATTCGACAGTTAATTGTGTTTTACATTTTACATGACCGATAACTGAAGGCAAAATGAAACCTTTCGTAACTCTTCAGCTGCCCGCATACTAGCATGTACGGTGTAACTTCAGACCACATACGCCTTTAGCTACCTGGAAAAAATTAAGGGGACTTCGATGAACGTTCGGATGAATCCACCGTATAGCCCGAATCTTACACTATCAGACAATCACCTAATTCAGTTTTCGCAGTAATTTCTAACTTGTTTAATGGAGGAAAAGATTACCACAATTATCCGTTCAGGTGGCAACCGAAATGGTGCATATATGTATACATGTATGACCCATTCGTTTTTCTGTCTACTATTAATATCTAACAATACTAATACATTAGTCAAAAATTACTCGAACAAATAAAGAGCTGCTGCAAGGGGCAGCAAAATGACGACTTCTACTTAGAGAAATATTACTTATTTGTCGTTTAACATGCCCCACAACATACAAAAGGGAAAACGTCTGTTTTTGAGTGTGCTTAGGTGTTTTCTAAACTAATATCGTTCTTGCTGCAGGGCAAGCTTTATCTTTGTCATATTGATTGCTCAGAAGGAATTGTTTAAAAGTAATTCAAGTTTTTTCTTTTACTAATGTAAATTAAAATGTATTCTGTATAAAGAAGTCGAACAACAAGTTTTATGTTTGTTGTCTTATATTGTAACAGTCGAAATTGTCATTTTTCATAGGCTACAATTACGTACTAATCTATAGGCTTTATTACAAGTATCTAATACGCAGATTATCCTCTGATCTACGTTTCAGTTCATATTATAGTAAGCCCGATCTGTTTAAGTCCATTAATTATAATTAATCAGACGTAAACATTTACGATTGCGTATAATGTATTTCAAATAGTTAGCCTTCAGTAACTCGATAAAAATTTGGCCTTCTCCCTAGACCCTCCTTTACTTATGGTTTCAGTTGGGCAGAAGGTAACTATAGCAATCGTAATATATAATGGTATAGCTATGTGTGTTAGATTTTTATGAATAGCCTATACTATTGCTTATGCAATAGATGTTTCTTGTATTTTCTTGATTTTGCCGGTGGTCTATGTCAGCACTGAAGTGCCGTTTTATAGCTCACGCCTGCTATCTGATTAACTTAAGGCTGGAAACCAATCAAGTAAAAATCAAAAGAAATCGTATAAAACTATGATGCTTCCTTGGGGCCAATCGATGATTTGAGGCTGAACTCCATGAGAACGGAGGGCGCTCAGAGCACGGGCACTTGCGCCTGGGTCCAGATCCACATTTTTGCTCTTGCCAACATCATCAACGTTCATTGAACTCGCTGCGGAACGAATCTATTCAAAAATGGGAATAGAAAAAAAGTAAAAAAGCGTTACTTTAATTTTACTTGATTGATTTTGCGTTGTACTAACATATGGATTTCTAACTGTCTCCGGCCTTGTCCTTACAGGAGGCCGTTCTGTCACAATCCTGCTGCTGGCGGCAGCCATATAACTATTGACCATAACGTTTCGTGTGTTTATCACTAAGCGTTTAAGAACAATGTAAGTCTAGGCGTGTTTGTTTGGTTTCGACCGTAGGATAACTAGTACAGACAAGGCAAGAAGACTACATTTATCTCAATCAAAATAATACTGAAATAGACGCGACAAATTACCTCCATCGCTGTGTTCTATTCCACAGCCTTTAAAGATAATGTGAGTATAGCAGCCCCTTATTTACCTTGCCTCTGAAGAATGGTTCCGAACACAGTACGCCATTTTCCGTCCCGTAGAAATTGAATGTGGGCAAGGACCACAATGTAGGCGATGCCAAGGATCGAGTACCCAAGAGTGCGACTATACGAAACTATATCCCATGCTGTAAGCCCTGGATCCTGAATGGTCGCGATTGACACCAGCAATTCAGCCTGCTGATGAGCTTTAATCCGATTTGGTGGAACGCTAGCTATTCCTGAATATAATGGTCAGTATAGATATTTTAACTTAGAACTCGTATATACCTCTACCAGCGTCATACGTTCTGCTGAACTCGGGTAAAGTCAACCACCACTTGATGTTGTTACTGAGGCGAGACGCGTACATTGGCGAAAATCGAATATAGGTCAAATAAAAATAAATATGGTTACTTAGATAATTATTTTTGATGTACACGTTCCGCAACAGTTTCTGGCATTTGTCAACACGGACAAGGAGTGTAAATATAGGTTTTCCGCTGCATGTTGCCAGCAGCTGCATGCCAGGCAGCCACAGTGACTACGGTGAGCTTTTCATATGGAGAGGTCTGGTTTAAGTCACACAGGCTATTTATTCTCTAGCTGACGGCTATCGATCGATTAAACCTGTCATCATTCAATGCGGAAAAGTAATAGCGCCGAGGTTACATATAACCCTTCTACAAAGCTAACTTCAGGTATGTAAAGATATTAAATTACTGAAATAGCAGAAAACCCCCCTTTCGCTTTTCGTAGAGCTTTTCTTCGATGGAAGAACATATATATATATTCTTTCTTTGTTCGTAAATAAAAAGAAAAACGTGTCAAAGACCTTTTTCAATACAAAAAGTTACTAACATGAGTTCTTTTGAAATAAATTTCCGATGCCTTAATAATATGGATCCAGTATAAGCAATGGCCACACCACGACTACTGTGCACGGTATTATGAGAATAGCGTACGTCAGCATGACGATACGGCGTTATGATCATAAGATCTTATCCTGTAATGATCAATTGGCCTGCCAAAGTAACGTTGATTATCGTAACTAATGATGCAGACAAGAAATAGTTACCGACAGTCACTAGATCGACAGTTTGTAGGGCCTGCATACGCGCTGATGCGGCGGCCTCGGTAAGGATCGTCTGAAAGGCCAGGGTTAAAACGAGGTTGAGCACCAGCACTATACTGTGAAACGTCGTCCAGAGTACCGTGTTAGATGTTGGCAGCTCGTACAAGCTTGTCGCGTTTATCTCATAAAGCATACGGCTGATATGGAGAGTTTCTAGAAAAACCAGCCAGTTCCAAAGGAAGCAAAAGAAACTAAAAGCACAAACGGGCGTGTAATATAGGTTAACCCACAACGAGCACGAACGGCTCTATTGTATTCTACATAAAACTCGCTAGCTATGCAGTTACTTGCTATCCAAGAGTTGTTTAAATCAACATATGAATGAAAAGATTTTCGCAATTTAAAAATCGTATATATCCAATATGTAAATTCAAAATCTCTCGATATCTAGCAATAGAAAAACATGGTTCAAACGGACCTCAACTTGAACTTGATAACTGCCAACAGAGATAAATTCAGCGTAGCCAAAGGTAAATGCATTTAGTAAATAAAAATGAAACATTCATTTAATAGACTGGAGTCTTACCTGAAGTTACGTTCAACGTTTCCCAGTAGTGAGATACACTGCGCGTATGCCTGGCGGATGTCTGCCAAAAGCTCGGTTGAGAGTTTCGCTACTATTATCTTGTGGCTCAACTGTTGATTGATCTATGATACGTTTGAAGAATTTATTATATTGATAAGTAACCAAGTAGCCAGCCTTGGATTGTCCATCATTGAATCATCAGTGTATTTGCATTTATTACGTCCGCCTAATTATATGTAAATATAGTACTTACAATTAAATACGTAGTACAACGTGATCGCCTTTTTACACAAATTATCTTCAGCTTATGGCACTTCTGGATAAATGTATTGGTAATATTACTGTTACCTATCCATGTGAAAAGAATTGGATGCAGTATAAAATTTTCAAACTTACCTGAATCAATGTCTGACATATAATCACACAAAAGCAGCTTACAAGTATGGCGCTGTAATCGTGGACAAGCAAACAGTTTTGTGTTAGGTTTGATACGATAAAGCTTATTGACACGAAAATAACTTAAAAATATCTTGCCGACTAACTTGAATCTTCCAATTCTTGCTCGTTGTGCCAAAGACCACTGCGTACTTACGTACAACACGACCGCATACTCACAATACATCATCGTTTTAAAAGGCAACATAACTTCTAGCTTCCTGGACTAAACACAACTACGTGTCTTTCTCTTACTAGCTTATGTATGTAACGAACATAATCACACGTACCTTAAATATATGATATTTTTGATGAGCAGATATCTGATACCATTAATGATGAGCGAAAATGGTTTAAACAACTCAATAAAATTGATGTCATCGTTATCAATGGAATCGTCGATGGCCGTATCAATCAATCCGCGTCGAGCCCGAGACAATCGATTGCCTCTAACGATCGATAGCTTGTGACGTGAAACGGATAAATCATTTTACCAACATATATAGAAAATATCTAACTCAAGAGAAGATTGGTTACCTCGAATATAAGCGTAGTAAAAAAAAAATAGAATCGTCCGACAGCTAGGGTAAACCTAACATAGTTCCCACAGTCAATCTCCCAAAATTTAAAGCAATCGCTTTAACTATTAATATTAAAAATTATCGAGTCAATCACGCACCACGTTCCCGTTATTGGCAGCCTGTCTACTGTTTGGAAGTATTTCATCGTCATCCGTTAAAGCGAAACTGAGCGGAAAGCTTTCTTGTTCATCTTCTTCGATTGTCTGAGCAGTAATTGACATTTCAATGACGGCTGCCGGACGCGCGAGCTCGACCACATCGTCCGGATAATCTCGTTTGCGTCGTCGTTGCCGGCCGAATTCATCGGATTTATCTTTTACAGCATATTCATCGCCCATACCATCGATATCTATGCTAGACTTCATTTGTGCGCCTGGGTCATCTTCTGCTGGGCGGTTATCATGAGCATCACGATTCTTCATTGAGCTAAAGTCGAGAGGAGAATCCTGTATCTTGTCATCATTTTTTACATTCAGACTACCTGAATTTAAGTCGTTCTCCGTAAGAACACTAAATCCTCCTACCTCGGGCTCGCTTTCTAGTCCAGGGCCCACGTTGGAATCAGGCAAAACATCTAGTCCCGTATTCTTTATGCCTATTACGTCACCATTCTGTAAACGGTCGTCAGCGCCACCAATTGGTGGGGCGCCGCCCGCAGCCGCCGCGACCTTTTCTTCTCCGGCGCCCGCGTTTCCGGCAGGTAATGAAATAACTTTTTTCTCCGAAGCGATAACTTTATATTGTAGCATTGATGTTGTGAACGTGAGGCACGCTGAGTGAATAAATAACAATGTCAGTAGCACGTACAATAGAACTCTATAGACTCTCAAAACAGGTAGCTCCTTTGATCGAGTTGATTTTTCTAAGCGAATCAAATACTCATTCATACGTTGCCGACGCCGAAGCGAGAATATTCGTCCAAAGAGGACAATGACAGTCTCATAGGCAACGATCATGTGTAACCCTTCGGACGACAGTAATGTTGTACCTAACAAAGATGAACAGAAGTTATAATAGCAAGTCACTAGGCTAAACTTAAGGGTTTGATGCATTGTTAAAATAAGTATAAGGTTTTGACTGTCCCTCCTTACAACAGCGTACCCCTGCATCACCCCCCAAAAACCAAATGGCAAATTAAGGCCCTATTGTCATTTTCGAGTCGCTTAGAATAACACTCGCCTTTGTTGAGTTACTGTCTTTCACAGAGGCATCCATCTACTACTACCTTAGCACGTTTGTTACTAACCCTTGTTATTGAAATGCTTACAACAACATATCTAGTCTAAAAAAGCCTAAAGAATGCGAAAACGTACCCCAATCTACTGTTAAAAATAAAACGTGTAACCCACCTTTTTTTGCATGAGCGAACAACGTAAATAGGCTGAGAACTCCAACAGCTCCATAGAACAGTAAAGCCAGCCACAGAATTATGCGGATAGACCATTCCAGACATGTGTATAACGATTTTTCTTTTTGTGACGTTAGTTTAATTGCATAGAGACGCAGGAAATGCATGCAGGGCAACAGAATCAAGAAGATACCCGATCCATCGACACTCTTGTTTAGAGGCCGAATGAATCGAAGATGGACTCTCTGTCGGTTTTCCGAACGCATCATCTAATGAAATGTCGTACGAAACAATAACGTAATACGGAAAAACAGAGTATGGCCAGTAATAGGTTAGTACAGGCTGAGAATTTCTCATGAATTTCTTTCGCTAAATTGTTTAAAATAAGTATGCATATCGAGCAGGCTGGTCGACTAATAAGAAATACCCACACACATGTTCACTGGCTTCTACACTCGTCCCTGTGTAAGGAAAAACGGTAAACAAAATAAAGCTTCATTGCTACTCACCGATTCATTATAAACACGTTCCTGAAATAGGCTGAATCTTCGCGTGAACTTAACGTTGTATTAGTTGCTTCCATACATTTGTTAAGGTGATACGCAACTGAGCGTAACAAGATTGATAGAAGATTCACCTGTGACAGGGGAATCTTAGCTACAGTTGAAGGGAATGGATGTTAAAAAGGCAAGCCTGAGTGAACAATAAGCTAGTCAGTCTAAGGGCCGATATCAACGCAAATAATGGTCCACTCCGGTAAGTAGAGAGTCCTGTTGCCGCTCGTGGCGAGAGGAAATCACTGAATTAAGGACTGTCCCAGTTGGCGGACCGCCAACGATTACAACGGCCTTCACAGGTGTCATATACTATACTCGCGTGAATGTTGGCCCTGGGGAGCCGTGGATAAATTTAGCCCGTTTAATGCGTCCTACGATGATGTCACCAGATCGTATACCCGAGGTTGGAAACAGATGGCCTGTCTCATCTCGTCGTATGCTCGCTGTCATTGTTAACCGCAGGCTGACATCGGCGACGATCTCGATGACGATAGCAATAGTAGCCGTTGTCATCGTCGTCGCGAAGCACTTCGTCGAGAGACGGGCGGCAAGGCAGAAAATGTCCCGCCTCGTGGATGGATAAGGGCTATTAGAAAGGCTAGATGCGTCGATCCATCAGGGGAGAGGTAGGACTTGTTTGAGCCATGTAGGGTCTAGGCGACTGCTCGGAATGCTCGTATCCACTTGTAATGAGGGAATAAACGGTACAACGAGGCTGCGACAGCTTAACTGTAACGTATATATATATATATGAATAAATAGGACAAGTGAGTCCGCCTGTGGCAGAAAATGAACGCAAGGCTGGAGATACATTTAATTGCGTTGCCTTGGAAATGTTTATAGTTTATAGCTCTGGGTACATATCCATACAAGTAGATGTAGTCAAAAGTATATAATAGACACGTCCCTCCACCTCGTAGCCGTAGAACAGAGGCAACTGAGCTTAAATTTTCGCCCAATTCACGACTTGATAAGGCATACGTAAGTAGACAGGGCACACCCATATATACAAGCACGTGTTTTCTGTCAAAAAAGAAAATAGGTTTCTATGCACCTATTCATTCGTATTTATTATTTTTGTGTGTATGCAGATAACATATTGCTATATGCACTATACATAAGGCAGTTATTGTAGAAGCAGTGTCGCTGCAGATGTTCCTTTGCAATAAACACTGAATAGCAAAAGATATGTGAACAACAATTAGAAATTTTTGGCAAACGCGAGCTGTTATAGTCCTAAAAACAAAGACGTTTTATATATAAATCTTTCAAAAATGTATTTATATATCGTCGAAGTCATCACGGGTAGTGCTGTTAAAAATTAGCAAGTTTCACAATAAACAGAATGACAATGACCAATATGTAATTAAAATCTGTTAACGGAACCACCCTATACGAGGCTTCCTATGACGTAAGCGAGTTGAGGCTGTATAGAACAGACGTCCGCAACAACCGTTTTGAGCAGGATGAACATCGTCTATACTTGTCTACCTAAGGAAGATGTTCTAAGATGATTATTGTTTAATGTCAGTGCCTTAGAGCCATTTGGTACAAGGGTACATCTATTTATTATAGTTTAGATAGACTAACCGCCGACGGCGTTTGTTACCATTTTTGTTTCTAACGCTAAACCAATGAACTTGTTTACATCGGTTCCTTATTCTAAGTAAATATTATCCAATTAAAACAAACAATCAAAGATAACTAATCTAATGTTATCATTCGACGAACCGTTTCGTGCACAGATGTCAATATCCGACCTGTAGCGTGCCCGCTAATACGTACCATCTGTTTATCGAGCATAATTTTGTAGAAGTATATATATAGCCAATGGCTTAATACAGGAATAACTGGCTGCGTACTTTTTACTGCAGGACATAATAAGGCGCGCACTTGTTTTACATTCCGGTCAATTTGTCTTGACAAATTACCGTTACATTCAATTTCGAGGAGTCTTTCTTTGAAAATCTGCGTTTGCAGGTGTCGTGCCCGATTTACGTATATGAACAATCGCGTATACAATTGATATACAGTCTACATGATTGGACACAGGCCATCTATGATCTCGGCGAGGGTGCAGGCCTGCTATCATAAATAGCCTGCCACTTTATATATTCCACCTGATCGGGCACATATCTGTTGATTATTCCGTGCTCCTACTGCAATAAAACGACCAATATTCCACGTATTATGTGCTACGTCTTACGACTATTCCGCTAACTGGCCTTGACTTTCAAAACCTTGTGTGAAAATTAGGCCTTTTAAGAAAGCTAGCGAGTTGCCAGTGTAAAAATACAGACACTTCGCACAAGCAACTGAGCCACTTCAGAAATGATTTTTTCCAAGAACTTTATTCTACAAAACCTTATTTAAATAACGATACTAATAATAATAATAATAGTTTAATAATAATAAATAAATAAATTATAACTTCAATTTACAATAAAGTTCATAGAAAGATTTTTGGAAATTTTCAGTGAATATGTCGTTTTCGGCACAATATTTTTGTGCCAAGACCTCCACGTGTCGAATTTTTACGTCCGACGTCGATGTTAAACATCCCATCAGATGGATGGTATTTGCCATGCAACGAAGTGTCCCTATGCCCGGATTCGAACCTAGGCCAAAAACATACCCCTAGAGACAAACGATCACACAGATGTAGATGTATGCATCAAGCTGAAATGCTTCGCTACCTTAACTCCTTCGAATAACAAAGACGTTGTTATTAGTGCACGAATCGGAAAGTGCGATCCTTTAAAATGTATCTAACCGAATCCACAAACGCAAGCATTTTCATAGTATGTAAGTTAACAATTTCTCTTGATTTTTATTCTAGTGATTTTCGAAATCAAGTTTTACATCTTGACTACATTGTTGCTGGGGTATCGTTGGAGAGCTGAGCTACTCAGCTTGGTCAATTTTTTGATTAAGAACATGCATTGTCGTCGCAAGCTCTTCTGGAGCTGGTAATATTTACCATTCATTGCAAACTAACAATAGTACATTATTTTAATTGTACATCATGAAAGTTTTCTATGCATAATTTTCTCTAAAATTGATTCAGTCCATACTAAGCGAAAGCCAAATAAAACCACTTGTTGATATCTACTATTACATTAGGCCCTTTGCTATGACCTTTGACCATTATAGCAGGATTCTACTAGGGATCTTCTGATTCTGCTATCATTACTCAATTAAGTGTAAATATAAACGACGCGGTTGAAAATGGGCGAAGTTTTAGAAGATGTGTTCCGCAGTCACTTCATGTATATTTACCAGGTCTATCCTTAAATCTGTACTTCTCAGCAGAAAAGATTTTTATCGCAGCTACCTCCTTTGAAAGTCCTACGCCCGAATTGAAACCCGATTTAGTAATGTGCCGATCTCTGTTATCTTCTGTTGTTTTTACTATAGATAACATAGATTTTCTGGAAGCTCTTCAACTGCGCTTACATAATAAGTTAACTCTGACATACATCTTGCATAGACAGTATAAAAGAGAATCCTAATTAGTATCAGAATTGAATGTTCCGTTTTGGGGCTTGAAATGTGCTATTACCTTTAGTATTAATTATGGAAAGGTAAGATAGAAACAATTTTTTTTTATTTTTTATATCGAAATCTCATGAACCACCGTGAAGTCTTTATTTTATATTGCTACTATACGAATTCACGCAATGTCCCAATAAACGACCAGAAATACGCGAACATTTGGTGTCTTTGTTGACTTTTTAACCAAGCAATTTTTACCTAAGTTCAGCCGCTAACACGTACTTAGTGGACCATTATGGTTACATGATTTCGCAAAGTATATGTTCCCATAGAGCGGTCGGGTTGGTTTTCTTTAATGCATATATAAAGTTGCTAAATTTGAATCATAACATTACAATCGGTCTCTTTAGTTAAAGGACATAAACATTTGAGAATCTTCGCTTTCGGTGAAATATAGGGCTATTTTGTAGTCGTGCAAGCAAAAATAAAGATTGAATGCTTTACTTTATTTAAAATATAAGTGATTCAAAATATAAGTTCATGTCAGGTCCTGTATAAGTGTAGGACGAGTAGCCTTAGAACATTAGGTTCTACCTGGCGGCGACAAAAGCTGAATCAACTCACTCAATTTCAATAGCAGCGATGAAATGACAGGCAATGAAAGCGCTGGACTGGTAAAATCCTTGATTAAATGAGCGAGCCCCCTTTGGTCTTTAAAGCAGCCAGGCCGAACGCATAAATGCTGGAATACTAGCGTCTGGCCAAAAGGAGCTAGTGGCCAGCTGATGAGGCAGTGAAAGCGCATGTATATTCAAAGGGCTTCCGACATTTAATTTGATTTGACGACCACGGATGGAGAAATGTAGAAGAGCTTTAACGAAACGCTAAAATATTCTTGTTTCACAACGGCTTTTTTACAACGGCACGTGTATTGGCGTATTTCTAAACGATGTGTTGGATAGGTCGAACTGATAACTATAAAGTCCAATGCCATTGAAACAATCCTGCTTCGGTAGTTTCTATTGTATAAGAATTCGAAGCAGTGGCTAAAATGCCCCATTGGGTCGTGTGGACTGTACGCACAGTTAGTTGAAATCTTGATGTCTACAACTTTAAGTTAACCATTCCGGCCCCAAGAAGGCCGTATGTCAATTAAAGGACAAATATCTCATAAGCAAAATAGTCTAGAATCGCCAGCAGTTGCAACATTTACTAGTGAGCAGGAGACAGCAAGCAAAATCGACTCCGTCAAACGCGAGTGGATTCGTCACGGCCTTCATGAGGAAGTGCCAGACATATTCTCGAAGTCGGTACCTGAGTCGTGTATCAAGTGGCCATACGGTACCAAATTATGTAGCGCGTCTCCTGATTTGTGCCACAGACGGCCCGCGGACTACTAGAACGTTCACGTCTAAGATTTGGGCTTTAACCAAGATCGATGGCCGGGCAGCAAATTACTCCAAAACGAAGACAGACAGCATTGCAATCGATACGATATTCGAGGTGAAGACATTCCGTTTGATGCTTCATTGAAATTCGTCGTTTCGATTGTGTACCTTATCCCTGGTGATGGCTTAGGTGATGAATAACGTATTTGCCAATCTTAAGGATATTTTGTGGTGCAGGATCAAGCCCAGGCATTGATACAGCTACTTTTATGCTGAAAGACAGTTGTGTGTCTGATGAAATGATGCAGGACATGACACTCGAAACATAGAGGGATGTTTACCATAGCAGGAACTCGCCCGTTTGCTATTCTTTACATAAGAAAGAAACCACTTCTTTTTTAAAGCAAGTACAAATTGGATTTGAAAAAAAGTAGAAAATCCTCGTTCGCAACATGAACGGACATCGTTTATTTTAGAATGTCTTCACACAAGGCAAACCGCGCTAAGAGTAAAAGCTCAATTTTTACCCGAAATCAATTATCTACGATATTTCTAGTTTCCGATTTGCAAAAAAATCCACAAAAAGCCGTAAACGTACATTATATATATATATATATATATATATAGAAAGATAGTTTTTCAATCAAGTCGTTTAAATGAGCTCATTTAGCTTTTAAACATTTTCGACCCATGTATTTTTCGGGCTTTCAGTCTGCTATCAGTCCAGAATTTATTTCTGCTAAATCTTGTTTTTTATGAAGCAATTTTGAGCGAGACTATATTTACTAATATCGGTTGGCGCATTACACTTAATCCACTGAGTTATTTTCAGATGAGGAACGTGAATACTTGAATAATAACTAGTTAGTGGTTTAAACTCTAATTGAAATTGAAATGAAAAGAAAGTGGCGTTATACCTGAAATGTGTGGTTCACTGAGATAATACTTTTAGCACATGCCTTATATTGAAATATATGTTTTAGATACAGTCTTCAAAACGAATCATAGGTAAGCTTTTGAGTTTGTACGGATCATCCCATATTCCAGAACGAAGCATATGTATAAACTTTAGTGCCAAACGTGAAATAGTGAACTTCCAAACTTTTTTATGGGTTTGGTTCTTTCACTTTCAACATAAACTACCAAAACATTATATGTGACTTTCTGTGTTTTAGATGGTACCTTGTTCATTTCGCTGCTGTAGAGTTTGAGGGACTATGAAATGTCAAGAAGCAGCCTTATTGTCATAATAGTTTTTCTATCAAGAAGTACTTGAGATTTAGAGCAGAAAAGGTAATTTTTGACGATGGGGAACACAGAAGACAACAGCGAGTTTTGAACTGCAACTCTTGTATTTTTTGAGGTGTGTGGGTTCGAGCAGTGTCGTGATATAGGAAGAAGTGTCTTCTCTATATTCATTAATCTTGACTCCTTAATAGGATTTTTCTTCCGAATCTTCTTGAACTGTTCATAGTAAACGTCAGTCATAATTGACGGACCAGAATTCGTGAACCTAGAGTGAATAATACCAGATTTAGGTCACCAAACAGGTACCATAAGCTTTCGCAGTTGTGCATTTGCTTTAATGTCAGTTTAGTTGCATCCACCCACTAATGTTACCGTTTGCGAAAATCGTCAATTGCTCATGAAGAGTTAGATTTCGATGCAATAATGGATGATTGTTGTTACGTGAAAAAAAAAGCCAAGAAAAGTAAGCATCTTTAAGTTTGCTTTCGATCTTCGCTGTAATAATGCAACGCTAATTTATCCAACTTTTCTATTTTATGAAGCAGTACGGTTTTTTTATAGACACCTGAGTGCTAACATCCGTGCGCTTTGAGGCTTCCAGTATTCCTCTCAGTCTCTTGTTAGTCATCTTCACAGGAAATCTTCTACTAGACTAATTTTCGAGCACAATTTTTTTCCGAAATTTTTGGAATCGGCTCTTCATGGTACTTCTAGCAGCTCAACCTCCACCAAATACAAGATGTGTAGACGAGCTGTCTCTGAAGAGTAGCTCTAAGGTGCCACTCGTACCGGTAAACCAGTCAAACTTTTTGTATTCCATGGTGTGCTAGAATTCCGACTGACGGTATCCGAAATGACTGATCTTAAATTTCAAAGGCTACAACTGTATTTCGAATACAAAAAAAAACGCATCGCGAAATGTCGCGCAGTGATTTTATAACTTGCGTTATTTCATAATTCAGCGCTGCTGAACTGAAAGATGCTGCTGAAGAATGAGATGAAGGTTTGTTACATTTTAGACTTAATTATTTAGTATATACGTAATCTAAAATCAGTCAGTATATGCACATGTTGACTAGTTTGGATTTTATCATCGCCTAGCAGGAGTGAGTGATGTAAGACCATACGTAAATAGTATATATTCAGTTCTTTAGATGTAAGATCGGGCATCCTACTTTATCATAGAATATCAGGAGGGCCAAGAAAACTCATTGCACCGTCCGGGTAGAAGAGCTACCCTCTATCTGTCTACCTAACAAGATATGAAGACGAAGTAGAAGCCCAGCGTGTGCTGCC